GCAATAGCTTTAAGTTTTCATTTCGAATATACATCTGCTTCATTAAATGTAAAACCTGACTTCTTGCAGAGACGACTTTAAAATCTATTGAGTTTGTTTCAAATATACGCTATGGTAACTTCTGAAGGTAATGGATGTCCTCCGCAGTCAGTTGTTCTCTACTACCGTTTGAAGCTTTGTGTTAAAAACTTTCATGTCATCTCCTGTGTCTAGGTTCACATTACACAGCAATGGAAAACTATCTTGCTTCTTTGTTTCATCATTATACCTCAAAACATTAAAGTTCTTCAATAATTGTTCTTCCTGCTGGAATACTTCTAACTTGTCTGATTTCAATAGCTTTCTCACCTCCTACATACTCTACCCAGTGTCTTGGATATTCATAAGTATACTGACTTTCTTGAATTTGGTTGGTTTCATCATAACGTGTTCATAGTATATCTTTAACTCTTGTCAGTTAGACTCGGTGCTATGTTCTGAATATTTCTGACTTGCATTTTTAATATTGGAGATAAAATGAAGCATTTAATACATGACGTAGATGAAGACATGAATGAAAGCAGTGAAAAGCTCAACAGTTTCTCATATTCTTCCTTTCAGTAAGGACTAGAGTTCTGTTTCAAATGGTGTATTTCTATTGTGAAAGATGGGGTCAGGTAAGACATTAACCTCATTCGTCATATACTCATAACAGAGCGTTTATCAAGATTCATATTATGACCAAATCATTATATCAGCAACTTCAACTCTATGATCAACAGCGAAAACATTTATGTCAAAAGTTCAAGCCTCTGTCGTTAAAGTTCCAGATAGCAACTCATTGAATTTCTTCAACGTTACATTCGACGTAAGAGGAAATATTATGCCATCGTTGAATTTATACATCAGGAATGCAAAAGACTTCTGAGGAGATGGAAAGAATTATTGACAAACACCACTTACGTCAGTACTCAGGAGTTTACGATATGAAACGACTTACAAACTACATTCTGTCAAAACTTTCAAAAATACCCCTTCAAAAAGTATCCTTCAAATACTCTGCTCGTTTGCGACGACTTCGCCGGAAAAGGTTTAGTGTCAAAGCCTGACTCCCATTAGCTAACATCATATACTAAAGTCAGACATTACCACTTAACTGTAGCAATACTTATGCAAACATGGCGTTTTCTTGCTTTAAACATAAACGTCTCATAACTGACTTCGTTATCTTTCAAGGTTTCTCACGCTATGATATTGAACTCATTTGGAAACAGTCATATAACATTACCTTTTGAAGAAATTTGGAAGCATATAAGTCTCTCATCTCTCCTCGTTCATACCTTGAGATTCATATCATGACTAATACCATTAAAGTCAAAAATATTCCATGGGAACGACCAACATTGTTTTAAAGTTTAACCTTCAATTGACTGATGGTAAACAAATTCCATGCATCTCTGTCGCCATTTCTGTTAATATTTTTGCTGTCATTCATATCATCCACTTCCCCATCCGTTAACTTTTGAGGATATGCGTTAGAATAGCTGTTCTAAATGAAGCTTTTCACCTTTGAGAGCATAAACTCTATAACTTTCTGCATACTTTATGTTTGAACCTCCTGAGCCATCATTGACATAAATTTTTATAGGCTTCCACCCTTTGTTCATTTCCTGCTTCTTCCCTTAGCTCTTTTGTTCAGTAGTTCTACATCTTTATACACTGCACCTGTCTCAGTGAATTCAACAATATTTTCATTCGTTAGCTTTACATTCAAACCCTTGTCGAGTATATTGTTCATTTCATACATATAAAAGGTTTTTATTCTATATGAAATGAGAAGCAAATCCATCTAGCTGGTGCCGTTAATGTTCCAATTAACCAACATCAAATGTTGACTCACGAACGACAAACAATATTGTCATAAAGAACTATAGTTCGGAGTGTTTGAAAGAGCCAGAACCAGAGCTGAAATCCGTGAATTTAAACACAGCTTCAAACGCTAACGCTACATCAGATGTTAAGTTAGAGTATCCACCACTGGACCAAATTCTTTCAAGAGAAGCCAACGACAACCCTTACATAAATGTTCAAACAAATCCTTCAGATAACGTAGACCATTACCTTCTTCAGTTATACCAAACAATTTTACTCAAAGACGATAAGAAGCTTTTGATAAATCTTATAAGTAAGAACCAAATAATTCTAACAAAGGAGGACCTTGAAAATTATATCACGAATAACAGGGAAACAATGTGTCATTGACTATCTCGACCTGAAATCGAATCTGTGGTCAAACGCCACCATTCATGAAAATAGGTAACATCCGCATCATTGAAATACCAGGTACTCCAGGAGTGAGTTTTAAGTATAAATATTCGAATGAATATACAAAACTTTCAACAGAATATAAATTATGTTTGAAATATGTTTTAGTAAATTAAAGCAACTTATAGTATCTATCCAAAACTTCTTCAACAGTATCGAACTCATCTTCATAATGCAAACCTAATCTTATTACTTGTGCATTTTTCACTAACACAATTATAGCGCTTTGCGCTCGGCGCCTTTGACGCCTTTTTCTGTTCTCTTGACTGACATAACTAACTCATTTGTTTCATCAAACAGCAATAACCAAAGTTCATGACCTAATACATAACATTCATACTTTATATTTTTAGCTCTGAGTTCTCTGTAAGCTGTTGCATTTAAATTTTCTAAAAAAGTCAACTTCAACAGTCATTCGCACTGGTGCCTTCAGTTCTACAGGCTCGCCCTGAAAGTCAACAAGTCTGAATTGCATGTCTTCAAATTATGAGGACTAATGCGAACCCATTTACCTAAATGAGTTGCTATGACAGGAACGTTTGGAATGAACATTGAATTGACTGCATAACAGAAGGATTTATATTCTACTGAACCTTTACTATTAACTCCTGAAATACCTGTGACATTAGCTATTTTTGACTCAACGTATAAAACAATTACCATAACATTACGTATGGAACAGATTTCATCTCAATCGTTTTGTCAACACTTTTCAAAAGGACATGTCATATGGTATGCTCCCAGAAGCAATTGAACTCTATGACTCATTCGTGTTATCTTAAACTCCTTCGCATAACTGAACTTCAAAACTCCTGCAATAAGTTTAACATTCATTAAGTTTTCTTCGTTATCCTTGTTTATTGTAGTATTTATGAGCGCATTTAACACTCCAGCTAATGTTTCCATCTTATATTCTACATTATTGTGAAATCTTATTTCATGCTTCTTTCCATCTATTTCAAGCTCCATGAAATCTGTTTCATCTGTTATAACGAATGAAGCGATAGTATTGAATCAACAACTCTGAATGCAAGTGGCTCATTCTGTAGACCTAAGTTTGTTTGTAGCTTTACTGTCCGTATTCGTTTGGGTCTGTACTTTGCAAATAGAAAACAACATTTTATTCTCATTAAAATATGAGTATTGCTGCATATGCGTATGAAGCTGACAGAGCTAAACGTTTATATTTTGGTCAATACTCTCTCACACTTACTGACAAATATTGTTTCTGATGGAAATACCGAGAAATACATAACATGGAAGGACTATGAAAAGTTTGACCCTATTTTAACTCCATGTACAATGCCATTCATTGTAAATGGTGAAGTTGTCATGAAGAACGACACAACAGTATATAAGTCTGTTCATGAAGCGTTAGAATATTATGTTGAATTATAATCCCGAAAGATTTGACCCAACACTACGTCATGTACAATGCCTTTTATTAAGGATGGTAAATCGTAAGAGGTTCCGGATTCAACGGTTATACTGCTGTTCAAAACAGTTTACAAAACATTTTAGCGAATATCTTTAATTCAGAAACTACAGAAATAAAATTACCATATATAACAGATGCTAAAGAAATTAAATCAAAAACGACAACATTATTTACGTCACTTAATGATTTAATGACTTATATCATTAATATTCCTGCACCAACTACAGCATTTGATCCAAACTCGACGGTTTGCAGTGTACCTTTCATAAAGGACAGTTCATAATTGTTTTAAGGGATTCAACAGTTAATGAATCATTAAAGGCGTCATTAATGAAAATCATTGATTTAACTCATTCACGAATACATATAATTCATTCATTAATGTTTCATATGCTTCTAAAGAAGGTGAGCCAAAAACTATCGATAAAGCGGTGTATGAAATAAAAGCATCAACGACGAAATTGAATTCGTTAACTTTTGACGTGATAGTTTCGTTAATGACATAACATCGGGGAAAACAATTTTAACGAAAGAATATTTAAAATCTCATGTTAGTGAGTTCGTTGAAATTGAAAAAGAAGTGGAATTAAGTTCGATCCACTGAATTTCATTTTCAGCTTAGCGAATGCGGGTGTTAGTTTCGCTGAATGGACAACTATACAGAGTGAAATAAATGCAATATGGACGTTTTTGGGGTCAAAAGCGGGAATGGGTGAGCTTGTAAATGCTGCAAGAACATTAGGTGAAACAGGAAATTTTTAGATGGTTTTAAAAGACTTGTTTTCAAATGTTTTAACAAACACAAAGAAATTATTTAGATATACCATACATAACGGACGATTTTCGAACAGGTAGCAACAAACCCTCCGGTTAGGGCTGCGTTGATGATGGTTAGAGATATAAAACCACGTAACGACGGAACGAAGAACATGAACAACAGAGCCCAACGGGCTCAGAGCCACCATAGTGGCGAGGATACTGTCGGGTTATTCAAGACATTAAAAACGTATCTCTGATATGTTATTGTTATTTAGAGGAGTTAATGATTCAATTTCAAAACATTCTATAAACCCTCGATGAAGAGAATAAATTAACAGATTATATATTCGTCATTATTGCAGAATTAATGAAGAGAATAAATGAAAAAGGAATTGGTGATATCATTAATGTCAGCGATGTAATGATGAAAAGAAATTTTGACTCATTATTTACAAAACCGAAAACAGAATATAGTCTTTATGACGTAATTACCGAATTAATGAAAAAGATTAATGATGATAATAAGAGTTCTGGCGGAAGAGTTGAATTAGAAGTGAATGATGTTAATGAGAAATTAGCCGAAAAAGCAGATAAAAACCATGTTCATTATATAACTTCAGACGAACAGATTATAACGGACTACCATGGATATTTAACACGAAGTGATGAAGTGAAGACAAAAAATGTTAATGAAAGAAGATATAAATACATTCGTGCTAAAGGTTATGACATAAGCTGTACTGTACAGTATGATGTAGCTAAAGCACCAGAAGCATTTGGTTATAACGATGAAATTTATGCCTCTACTTTCAATGTTAACGGTGTATTAGTTGAACCAAGATTTACTTTGAGAGTTAAGTCAAAAATAACGTTTGAAGATGCTATTAAAAGTAAAGCTGACAAAGTTGAACTCGAAGCAACGAACAAAGTTTTGAAATCTCATAAACACAACATCTCCGATATAAATGAACTTCAAGCTACATTAGACAGTAAAGCTGACAAGAACCATACACATAAATCCTTCACTACTGTTAGAGCAGACGACATAATATTGAACTTTGACCTTGGTTCAAGTGCACCATTAGAAAATCCAAGTACAAGCGTAAAAGATACTCTTAACAATTTAGATAACAGTTGCAGGAACATTGAAAGTCATGCCAGAAACTTTGAAGCATATGAACTACCAGCAATGTTAGATAAGAAAGCAGATAAGAACCATACACATGATTTCTTCACAACTGTTGGTATAGAAAGTATTGAAGGAACGGTTGAAGAAACTGGTGGGGATGCAATATATTGTAAACCTCCTAACTTTCCACAAGGTTTAACATCGGATGACGACATAACGACGATGAGAAACATTAGATGTAAAGATGTTTATGTCATGAAGGATGAACATAATATTAAATTCACTGCTCAAGATTTATATGACAGTAAAGCTGACAAGAACCATACACATAAATCCTTCACTACTGTTAGAGCAGACGACATAATATTGAACTTTGACCTTGTTCAAGTGCACCATTAGAAAAATCCAAGTACAAGCGTAAAAGATACTCTTAACAATTTAGATAAGAGTTGCAGGAATACCGAAGATCATGCCAGAAACTTTGAAGCATATGAACTACCAGCAATGTTAGATAAGAAAGCCGACAAAACAGAGCTTCAAACATTAAAGACAGAAATACTTCAAACATTATATCCTATAGTTCTATTTATACGTCAATGAACTCAACAAATCCAGCAACAGTTCTGGGTTTCGGTACTGGGAACAGATTGTAGATAAATTCTTATACTGTGCTAGATATTCAAACAAACAGGAGGTTCGAAGAAAATTACTGAAGCAAACCTTCCACCGCACTCATACAGGAACGACAAACTTTTCTGGCGACCATAGTCACTCATTAAGAGACCATCCATTATACAACTCAGAATATGAAGCTGGCAATGACGTTTTATCTCCATCTTATAACAATGCAGCAAAAAAGACTTTTCGACCAACTGAACCAGGAGGAAATCATTCACATACTTTCACAACAAATCCAACAGGCTCGGGTGCAGATTATATGCCACCATTTATGACTGTATTTGCATGGAATAGAGTTCAATGAACGCGCTTGAGCCTAGAATAAAATCTTTAACTTTACATAAATGAGCTTGAAAGAAGTATTCGAACAACATCCATGGAGGTCTTTTAAGAAATTCAATGGAGCTGCAAAGAGTTCGGGATTTACTAACAGAGCTGAAGTGAAAAGGTTCTTTGACAAAAATGTTGTACATCAACAAAAATAAATCCTTACGACTACTTTTTACCAATTTACTCCAACACTCCTGACGCATACCAATTTGACACTCTCATTCAAAGCAGAAAAGGAGGACATAAACCATTCCTCATCTTCATAAATGTTAACACTCGTAAAGCATATGCATATCCAATGAAAAATAAAGGAACTCGTGAAGTGTTAAGAGTTTTACAAAAGTTTGTAGCAGAACATAGCCAAGTACTTTAACATCAGACCAAGACAGTGCATACCTCAGCAATGAAATCACAGAATTTCTCATTAAGCATAACATAACTCACTACACTACTGAAGACCATAACCATAACATACTCGGTATCATTAACCGCTTCATAAGGACTCTCAGAGATTTAAATCAAGAGCGAGACTTTACCGAAGAAACAATGAAACATTTTCTCGAAGTATATAATTCCTCAACACATTCTACAACAGGACATACACCAAATTCAATGACACAACAACAAGAAGAAAAGTATATACAAAAGAAACTAAGTCAAACACAAAATATCAGAAATTCAAAACAATTTACCCTCATTCCTGGTACAAAAGTTCGTGTAGTTCTTGACGACAAACCATTGACAAAGAAACGTTTAAGGTTAAGTCGAAATTATTATATCGTAGACTCTACGCAAGGTAATGGATATCTTATAAAAGCTGCTGACGACTCCATAGCATTTTACCCTCGACATAAATTAGTCGAAAGTAGTAATGGCAAACTTGCTGAAATTGACGAAGCAAAGCGAGGAGTGGTTATTGAAATACTTGACTACAACACAAACGATGACACTTATAAAGTAAGATATGAAGGAGGCGTTGAAGATGTTATACCATCTAAGAACTTGAGAGAATCTAAACCAACTCATCTGGGACCATTAGAGCGGGAGTACTGGAAAGATAAAACATGCCAGAAAGAATAAGAAAATTCTTCTAAACTTTTTCGTTGGATGTAAATCAGACATGAATGAGAACAGTCATGATATCATTAATGGTACCATTTATTTTTGTCATAAATTTACACCAAAAATATAATTGAGGTGAAGAGACCCAAAGGGTCAGAGCCGCAAAGCGGCTAGGTGAGATTTCACCTGTTTTCTCACCTCTTTTTTCACCTCTTGAATTTTCGTGAATTTTCACAAAAGACCAAAAATAACGTTAGTTTTATTTTTATTTATTTTTTTTATTTTGTATGTAAGAACAGAAATGTCAATCGAAGCAAAAACATTCACGAACAAATCTAATGGTGAAACATTCACAAAAGGCACTTATAACGGTATTGAAGTCTTACGTAGAGACAAGGATGGTTACATTAATGCAACAAAGATGGCGAGAGAAGCAGGAAAGTTAAACCATTTAAACAGATTTCTCAATAGTGCTAAAATGCAGGAAATTCTTGAGTTTTGGTTGAAAGAATACGGTCGAGCCAAAAGTGGCTCAACCTCAAAACAAGCATTTTATGAGCTTACTAAGGGCGTTATGAATGAATTCAAAGGTATTTACATACATGCTGACCTCGTTCATTTTGTTGCTGAATGGTGCTCTGTAAAGTATGCATTTTATGTCAAAGATATTATGGACTCCATAGACAAGAAAGTTCATGAGAAGTTAGATGAAGAAGAACTCGAAGATACAGTGGAGAATGCTAAACCTTTGTTCGAAGAAGAAGTTGGAAAATGTGTGAAAACAATTAGAACATGAACGTGAGATATATTATGGTTATAGAGATTCTCCATACGAACTAGACCAATGGGAACAAGAAGATTTAAAGAGAGAATTTAGAGAATATGAACTCGCTAAGATAGCATTTGAAGCTGCAGAAAAGAAGTTAAAAGTTTGGGGTCGTTTTGTACAAAAATATTGTGAGTAAATGAACCATTTATTTTTATTGAATTCAGTAAAAATAATGTTTAGGTGAAGAGACCCAAAGGGTCAGAGCCGCAAAGCGGCTAGGTGAGATGTCACCTCTTTTTTCACCTCTTTTCTCACCTCTTGAATTTTCGTGAATTTATTTCCCAGTCATTCAATAATTAATTATTTTTAAAGAACTGAAGGTGCTACCATGCTACCATGTGCTACCAGGTCATTTAACTTCTCTGAAAAAATGTGACAACATGACATTTTGACAACAACATAGGAGGAAGGTAGTTATGAATTATTTTTGAATAACTGAAGGTGCTACCATGTTACCATGTTGACAACATGACATTTTGACAACAACACAGGAGGAAGGTAGTTATGAATTATTTTTGAAGAACTGAAGGTGCTACCATGTTACCATGTGCTACCAGGTCATTTAACTTCTCTGAAAAAATGTGACAACATGACATTTTGACAACAACATAGGAGGAAGGTAGTTATGAATTATTTTTGAATAACTGAAGGTGCTACCATGTTACCATGTTGACAACATGACATTTTGACAACAACACAGGAGGAAGGTAGTTATGAATTATTTTTGAAGAACTGAAGGTGCTACCATGTTACCATGTGCTACCAGGTCATTTAACTTCTCTGAAAAAATGTGACAACATGACATTTTGACAACAACATAGGAGGAAGGTAGTTATGAATTATTTTTGAATAACTGAAGGTGCTACCATGTTACCATGTTGACAACATGACATTTTGACAACAACACAGGAGGAAGGTAGTTATGAATTATTTTTGAAGAACTGAAGGTGCTACCATGCTACCATGTGCTACCAGGTCATTTAACTTCTCTGAAAAAGTGTGACAACATGACATTTTGACAACAGTTCAGGATTAATGCAAAAATAAATTCAAATCATACTTTATAAAGCTAGACCTTCAGGTCTCGCCGCTTAGCGGCTCATTTACAGGTATTTCATCATCAGTAAATGATTCCTCATTATCGTTTGGTTCAACCTGTTTATATAATCCTTTCATTTCTTCTTTCAAAACATAATACCATGTTTGTTTACCGTCTATTCTTCTATGTTTCCTATCACATTTATCCTTAATACTCATTTGAAAGTTTTTGTCTTTCATGTCTGAAGGTTTGCAGAATAGAGCATTTTCACACGTCATACCTGCACACAATTCATCATAATGTGTATTTATCCATACATCTAAAGGATTTGATGATAATTCAATTAAATCTTGTTTGGCTTCAGTCATCGGTATGATTCGTACATTAAATGATGAAAGGTCATATTGCATAAAATACGTCAGTAAATTATCATAAAATTCCTTTGTGCATGAATCCATTAAATTCTTGAAGTAATCAAATTGACCCTTGAATTTACCATTAACTCTTAAAACTACGTATCTTCTGTCTCCAACTTCAATTTTGACAGGGTAGACGTTGTTAGTTACGAAAATGAAGTTTGCAACATTCTGAGCAGTTCTTCTGGGTTGATTCTTTTCATTAATTCTAATTTGATTATCCGTAATAATTGATTTCAAAGCGTTGAAGTTTGCGAGTCTGTCTTCACCCACATTCTTGAGTTCATTAAGTACAAGAAACATTTTATTTTCAACTACTGAGTTGAAATTACCCGTTAGCTCACTTATTTCGGTAATGTTTTTACATGAATAACCAGCGAGAAGTTCAGAAATAATGTCTGTAAATCTGTTTTTACCTGTTCCCTGAAGTCCTTTCAAAATAATTGCTGTTTCATTCTTGATTCCAGGATGTTGAATCATTGATGCAATCCAGCCGAGAAGGTATTTATACACTTCATCGTTATTATCACAAATGGCTTCTTTAATGAAATTCATAAACATCTCAATTTTTGAGTAATCTGGTTTTTCGAGAATGTTGTATTTATAACCCTGAAACGTTGAGAAAACATCTGGGGAATCAGATTTAAAGCAAACACCCTTAACGGTTAATGAAGACAATTGATTTAGTAGTACATCCCATGCTGTTATGGTTTTACCTTCTTCTTTAAATAATTTAATCATTTTGAGTGACTCTTTCATGTTTGACTGAAGAACAAATGATATTTGATTCATTTTGTCGTGGATATTATAGTCCTTTTGAATGAAATATTTATTTCCACAATCTACAAAACGGATTACACGTGATAAATCCTCAATTACTTCAGAACTGTTTTTATACTGATGATTTTCAGCCTTGCGTCTAATATCTGTTATCAAAACGAGTCATCAAGTTTGATATCAAATGTTATTTTTGGCTTACGTAATAAAGGTAAAACATATTCATCATAATATTCCTTTTGATATAGTTTTAGAATCTTCACTAAAACAAATGGAGAAGTCATTAAATGTGCATATCTACTACGTGCTTTTTCAAAATTACTTTTTGCATTTTCTGTTAAACTGCAGAAGTTATAAACGTTATCGTATGCTTCATTAATTAAATGATCCGGTAACGAATTAATAGCTTGAAACAGTGTGAATAATGTAACTTCTTTTTCTAAATTCATGTTTCCACCGTCATTATGTACTTCAAAATCACAGATGCCATCAACTATGCTCTGGGCAAGTTTATCGTCAATGTTTACATCTTTGTTTTCATTCATGATAGTCTTTATTTCTTCGTTCTTCTGTTCAACTCTTACCTTAATATTCAAATCATTTAATATATCATTCACTGTTCTAGTTAATGTTGAATCATAACTTCCACGAATGAATGAGTATGTTTTGATTGGTTCTGTTGCATTCTTGCGAACTCTTGAATCAGCCATAACCACTAAAGAACGCTTTGAATCATCCATAGAAGTCATGATATCAATATCATAATCATTGCAGGAATAACATTTAATCATTCTGTTCGAAACTGCATAGAAGAAATTAGTGTTGCAATAAATGTGAAGACCTCCTGAAGCGGTTTTAACGATAACATCTTTATCCGAAAGTTTTGATAAAATGTCTTTTCTAACTGTTTCTTTAAGTTCATCATTGTACGATTTATTGATATCAACATCTATAATCGTTAAATTTGATATTTTATTTACTAATAAAGCCATACCAGTTTTCCTTCCTCTTCCTCCATCATGTTTGAGGTAGTTATGTAAATCAATCCTGTTTTCACCAATTCTTTCGTTGAGGGTTTTAGTTTCTGCCACAACTAATTCCTCAGCTAATGAATCAATGATATTTTCATCAGAAACGATATAGTTGTTGCTGTTGTTTGTTGCTGTCATTTATATAGGAATAAAAAATAAAAATAATTTTAAAACTAACTTTATTTTTGGACTGCATCATATTTCCTGAACTGTTGTCAAAATGTCATGTTGTCACACTTTTTCAGAGAAGTTAAATGACCTGGTAGCACATGGTAGCATGGTAGCACCTTCAGTTCTTTAAAAATATTCATAACTACCTTCCTCCTGAACTGTTGTCAAAATGTCATGTTGTCACACTTTTTCAGAGAAGTTAAATGACCTGGTAGCACATGGTAGCATGGTAGCACCTTCAGTTCTTTAAAAATAATTCATAACTACCTTCCTCCTGAACTGTTGTCAAAATGTCATGTTGTCACACTTTTTCAGAGAAGTTAAATGACCTGGTAGCACATGGTAACATGGTAGCACCTTCAGTTCTTTAAAAATAATTCATAACTACCTTCCTCCTGAACTGTTGTCAAAATGTCATGTTGTCACACTTTTTCAGAGAAGTTAAATGACCTGGTAGCACATGGTAGCATGGTAGCACCTTCAGTTCTTTAAAAATAATTCATAACTACCTTCCTCCTGAACTGTTGTCAAAATGTCATGTTGTCACACTTTTTCAGAGAAGTTAAATGACCTGGTAGCACATGGTAGCATGGTAGCACCTTCAGTTCTTTAAAAATAATTCATAACTACCTTCCTCCTGAACTGTTGTCAAAATGTCATGTTGTCACACTTTTTCAGAGAAGTTAAATGACCTGGTAGCACATGGTAACATGGTAGCACCTTCAGTTCTTTAAAAATAATTCATAACTACCTTCCTCCTGAACTGTTGTCAAAATGTCATGTTGTCACACTGAAGAAGTTTCCTGGTAGCACATGGTAACATGGTAGCACCTTCAGTTCTTTAAAAATAATTCATAACTACCTTCCTCCTGAACTGTTGTCAAAATGTCATGTTGTCACACTTTTTCAGAGAAGTTAAATGACCTGGTAGCACATGGTAGCATGGTAGCACCTTCAGTTCTTTAAAAATAATTCATAACTACCTTCCTCCTGAACTGTTGTCAAAATGTCATGTTGTCACACTTTTTCAGAGAAGTTAAATGACCTGGTAGCACATGGTAGCATGGTAGCACCTTCAGTTCTTTAAAAATAATTCATAACTACCTTCCTCCTGAACTGTTGTCAAAATGTCATGTTGTCACACTTTTTCAGAGAAGTTAAATGACCTGGTAGCACATGGTAACATGGTAGCACCTTCAGTTCTTTAAAAATAATTCATAACTACCTTCCTCCTGAACTGTTGTCAAAATGTCATGTTGTCACACTTTTTCAGAGAAGTTAAATGACCTGGTAGCACATGGTAGCATGGTAGCACCTTCAGTTCTTTAAAAATAATTCATAACTACCTTCCTCCTGAACTGTTGTCAAAATGTCATGTTGTCACACTTTTTCAGAGAAGTTAAATGACCTGGTAGCACATGGTAGCATGGTAGCACCTTCAGTTCTTCAAAAATAATTAATTATTGAATAACCTAAAAACCATGAGACTTTGTCTCCGGACTCTTTGAGTTGAAGTTCTGAGGTCATGGGCTTCGCCCTTGCCGCTAGCGGCTTATTTTTGTCAGCAATGAGGTCATGAATGAGGTCATGGGCTTCGCCCTTGCCGCTAGCGGCTTATTTTTGTCAGCAATGAGGTCATTCGTGATAAAAATAAAGCTAGCGTAGATTTTACAATACTGCGATGGTAGAGTTTAAGAGTTGTGCTTCAATGTAGAGACAGTCCTTCCCATCTGGAGGCAAGAACACTGGACATTTATGGTCATGAGTGGAGAACATGTCTATCCAAAACTCACGATTGAAGCCAGTTAATTTATAGTATTTAGGGTTAGGAAGTGGTGAAGTTCTTGTATGACCAATGAACTCATTTTCAACGCCTTTGGCTATATTAGAGTAAAGTATTGCTTGCTTTCTATCCCAAATGCCAGGTGTTACAATCTTTGAAAATTCATTTTTCCTCGGAAGCATTGCATCATAATTGAAAACATTCTTAAAATCATCACTTGGTTCAGAGATTTGAAATCTTATACGTAATGGATTTTTTTTCTCTTTAGCGACTTCATTGAATGGTGAGAATACAATGAATTGACAGTCATGAGTTCCATCTTCATTTTCATTAAATTCATAATGAAAGTCTATAAGTTGTGGCTGACTACCTTCTTCTTTCAGTTGTGCAAGAAACTCACGTAAAGGCTGTAAAGTTTGTACTTCAATGTTGAACTTTTTCTCGAACATCTCATTAAATGAAATCATACATTGCAACAATGTTGTATCGTCTTTAAAGTATTTGTATATGTGAATGTTTTGGGCGCTTAAAGACTGTTCGTCATTTTCTATCTCGACTTGAAGTATAAAGTCAACCTTTCTGAAAGCACGTGTTATATACATAGATGTTATGCCAATGTACTTCTCTTCATTTATGTTCACAATCCAGTCTGTTGGAAACTTAAACGTTACTCTGTTCCCCTTTTATTTTGACGTCAGGGTTTTCACTACTGAACGCAACAGATAAAGGTATTTGTCTATACATTTAATTCGGAAAAAATAAACCATTTACTCTTTCTTTGCTTCAGCTTCCTTTGCTTTTTGTTCTTCCTTTGCTTTTGCTTCTTCTCTAGCTTTTTTCGCCAGCAAACGTGGGTTCTTCTGTCTTCCAGCAGCTAATGCAGCTAGTTGTTTTTCACTAAGTTTTCTCTTTGGTCTCTCTGGCTTTTGTTCTGGTTTTTGTTCCTTCAGTTCGGATAAAATTTGCTCGCGAATTTCTTTCTTCAATGCTTCAACATCTATGACCCCTTGGGGTCTTGTCCGTAGGATTTGACTGAGTCATTTGACTGTAGATAAAAAACTAAATTAAAACTTTAACCGATGTAAAATGAGCTTGTCAAAATCAGAACGAGAGTCTATTATATTAAATGACGCCAGAGGAATACAACATCCTTTCTATTATGTAAGTCAGAGTAAAGATGGTAAAATATATGTAAGAAAAAGAAAGGTACCATTAGCGAATGCAGAGAGCGACAACATTAAGGTGCATGGCAAGGGTGAAGTCCACGAAGCCCATGTTAAGCCTTCTATTCAAACTGAAAAGTCAATAGAACCAGAAGAAAAGAAGCCAGATGTTCTTTCAATAACGAACCAAGAGCTTATTGCAAAGTTCGTGAATTTCATTGAAAAACAAACCGAGTCAAAGAACCCTGACCCACCAGTGAAAGAAGTTGAGACAAAAGAGAATGTACAGTTCATTGAAAATGTCAAGAAACAACTTCCACCACGAATGCCAAGAAGAAGAGTGAGAATAATGAAGTAAATAGATATTTTTATCCGAAGTAAATACATGCAGAACGAACAGTTAAACGAATTTACTCCAGCAGAGCATATTCATCAGATTCGCTCATATTTCGATATCATAGACAATGCAGTTCAAATTGGTGACACTAATAGAAAATATTCTGACGCAAAGATTCCATCACAACCTGGAACTGCTAAAGATAACACATGGGTAACATTCAATCTCTCACCTCCTGGTGAAAATATGTTGGACCTTTACAATACATTCATTACGTATAAAATGGAAGGTCAATTTATTGTAGATAAAGAAATTGGTTCAGGTTCCAATAAAACAAACCCACCAGGATTTTGGATTGGTTTTGATGACGCTTTCTATGCAGTTGCTGGATATCAAATCCTTGCAAATGGTCGTATCGTATATTCTCAAGACAACGCAAGAGAAGAAGCATATATAACTTCAAACTCACAAACTACCGAACAAATAAAGAAAGTAGATGTTTTTTCAAAGACTCGACATGAAGATGTATGGAGTCATTCGGGAACATGCAGAACAGGACAAATTGTTAGTGGTCCAATTACAGCAGGAAAATCATTTGATTTTAAGCTTCGTTTAAGAATTCCTGTTAGAAGATTCCTTCCATTAGAAGCTATTCGATTTATTCCAGCTTTTGCAGGAAACATTCAGCTTAAAGTAAAGTTCAGTAGCGACGCCTTACAATGCACATCTATATCTGTAAATGATATCATTGCTTTCAATCCAACTCTTAAAGTTGCATTTGCTTCAGATTCAAATCCACCGACAAATAAATTTGTTCCATGGAATGAACCATTCACTATGATAACGAAGGCAGTAGAAGCTAGTGGAACAGTTACTATTACAACTGTAACCCAGCAACTATTTCGAACAAAGATGGATTTTAATGAATGTTTCATTCATCCAAAGTCATTCTCTTTAGACCCTAACATTTATACAGAACTTGTAGAACATTATACAAACGAGGCTTTATGTTTTCCTGTTAAAGTTATGGATTGGATTCCTATGGACGGTTCATTCTCAAAGAATACAGATAGTTCAAGTGCAACATTTACAGCAGCTTATACGCCTATTAATGTTAAAAGTATTTGGGCACTATTTAGAAAGAAAGACAACTATTATGTTAATTTTGAGAACCCTAAGTTTAAATATCTTCAGCTTTCCATGGGAGCTTATGGAAATATGCCTGCAGAACCTGAAAAATCATATGGACCTGTATTTTATGAAATGGTTGCGAACGCCTGCAATACAAACAATGATATGATAGGATTTAATGAAGATGTTATGAGGTCATTGGTGGATGATGGTAGTGTGGAACATAAATGGGATAGCTATGACAACACACATTTCTTATGTGGTTTTCCAACAGAAGTGGACTTTTGCTTCCAGCAAGGTCAAACATCTACTGCTCCAATAACATACAAATTGTCTGTTAAAGGACCTATTGAACTAGCAACTGAAAACGTACCAAAGCCACTTATTGGATTTATGAGGGATTGTTGCTTTGCAATACAAGTAAGACAGTCAGGCATACCAATAATAAGACTTGACGACTATAACTTAGCAACTGACGACAGTGAAGAATAAAGGATGAACGTTTATTTTTAAAGCTTATAAATGAGTTCTTCATCAAGCTCTCGTGAACCTTCACCATCTATGAAACAAACTTTACCAAACGATTATGGAGCACCTATTGAATATTTCTTACGAGCTGCACAATGGCAAAGAGCAGTCTCACCAAGGTTAGGTGTTCCACCAGCTCCTGTCAAAAATAGCATTTGGTCAAGTCCTTATATAAAATATGGTCTCCCACTAGTTTGCTAGCTACAGCAGGAGCAGTAATGATGTTGAAAAGAAATAAAGCAAATGTTATAAATAATACTGAAGTAGCTGAATTTGAACAAACTCCGACACCATCGCCAAAACCAACGCCTTCACAAGCAAAACCTTCAATGACTCCTGAACCTATGAAAGTACAAACTCCTGTTCAAAAGTCAACTCCTAAACCGACTCCAACATTTAAACCAGAACCTACGCCTCAAATAAATCGTAAAACTCCTGCGTTTCCTTACTGAAAAAAAATAACGTTAGTTTTATTTTATTTGAACATTTTATTTAGAGTAAAATGACGACTAAAGTCACTGAAGCAATGAAACAAAAATTTTTGGTAGAATACATTAAATCAGGAGCGGTTCCAGAATTTTTACGTTCATACTATGAAGGATGGTAGAGTTCAGTTTAGAAAGATAAAGCAACCATTAGATAGAGAAGGTATATTAAGGAAGATTAAACTTCATGAGGACAACATTGCTGAACTTAGGAAGAAGTTAGAAGAGTTGGAGAAAGGAAGAGAGTTATAAAGCAATGAATTCATGAGGTGAAAAAAGAGGTGAAAAAAGAGGTGAGATTTCACCACTTCACCTAAATTTATTTTTGCGCTATGTTTTCATACGTGTGAGGGTGGTGATATCATTAATTTTAAGTTTATTTTTTTTTTTTTATTTTTTTTTTATTTTTATATTTTTATATAAATGACGAAAACTATTGAGATAACAAACTACAACGGTCATGAGTTCAAGAATTTGTTCTTCGTTCCTCGTGAAAATACATTCTATCAGATACGAGGGAGAAAGGGTAAAGTTAGTTTGAGCGTTTATGACTACAAGCATAATGGAAAGTTTATACAAGCATATGATACAAACGGTAAGCGTGTTTCATTAGCTTTGTCAAAACTTACAGGTATAAACTATGACAGTGATTTTGACCTATATGAAGAAGAAAGTGAGTCAGAAGATTATGAGCTGTTATATGAAGCACAGCAATGGGAGGAGTTGCAATACTTTTGTAAGTGAGAACGTTTATTTTTACATTAGTGAGGTGAAGTGGTTGGCGGCTTTGTAAATATTTAAGGTTAAGTTAGTGTTGTCGTTTGTATTGTAAAATATACGTTAACGGTTTTGTAAAGTGTCAAATTCACATATAATGGGTACGGTGGAACGCAGTGCCGTCGTACCCTTGATATGTATACTAACTTCAAGCATACTGATGCATTCGACTTTTTTTAAATTGTGTCATTTCTTCGAAATCTCTTGTTGAAACATTTCCGGAATGATCCCACTATCAAATGGGATATTAAGATCTTTGAAACACCTTAATTGTGCGTAAACACGGTCTTGATTTGATTCAAAATATCTTGTTAAATAAGATCTATAAAAATATGATGTAATTTGTTGTGATTTGTTTGGAAAAGGGGCAGAATGATTGTGGGTGTTAATACATTTTTCGTATGTGGTACTTGTCATCGGGAAGTGTATCAACAAGGAAGCGACATGGACAATTCGGCCACTTACAATTAAATTGGATTTGATTTCTTTCTTTCCTAGTTTTATATGAATAACTACAACCTGCTTGGATTTCTTGTTGCACTCCATACTTAAGCAACTCGATATATGTGAGTTCGTGATCTTGGATCTGCATTAAAATGAAATGATTTGAAAGAATAAAGAATTTTGAATATATTGATCTTATTTTGATAAGCTTGGTCATGTTTTGAATAGCTTGGCCATCTAATTCAATTATGATCTTTGAAAATTAGGTGAAATAAAACTAAACATAAATGTAAAACTAGGGATATGAAATTTTGGTTGTACACAACTTGTATGTGCCGGATACCATTGTGTCAAATTTTTTCTGAAATTAACTTTAAAAGTACTAAGTAAGATCATGAGATATAGCAATATATGTTTAAACCAACTTATATTTTGGTTGTACACAACTTGTATGTGCCGGATACCATTGTGTCAAATTTTTTCTGAAATTAACTTTAAAAGTACTAAGTAAGATCATGAGATATAGCAATATATGTTTAAACCAACTTATATTTTGGTTGTACACAACTTGTATGTGCCGGATACCATTGTGTCAAATTTTTTCTGAAATTAACTTTAAAAGTACTAAGTAAGATCATGAGATATAGCAATATATGTTTAAACCAACTTATATTTTGGTTGTACACAACTTGTATGTGCCGGATACCATTGTGTCAAATTTTTTCTGAAATTAACTTTAAAAGTACTAAGTAAGATCATGAGATATAGCAATATATGTTTAAACCAACTTATATTTTGGTTGTACACAACTTGTATGTGCCGGATACCATTGTGTCAAATTTTTTCTGAAATTAACTTTAAAAGTACTAAGTAAGATCATTTATTTTTGCATAATATAATGCCAATATGGTTTCTTTTGATTTTATTTCATTTATAAGCAAATCAGATTTACCCAAAAAACTCCACTCCATAAGCGTTCATTTGCGAAATTAAAAAGTGACAATGGGCTAGTCTGTCCCTTTCTCTTTTTTGATTTTTGAATTTTTTTTGGAATTAGAGAATAAAATTTAAAGCGATAGATATGCTTGATTATTCAAGATATTGATATTAAATCAGAAATCAATGGTAAATAAAGAGTTTTATAAAAACTTACCACGTGGTAAGATGAAGTGACCACAAATTGAGTTGTGGTACATAAAAATTACCACAAAATTGAGAACTTTCCCCACAAATTGAGAATTTTTACCATAAAATGAACGATGGATATCCACGAAAGTTACCACAACTCACTTCTCGCGCAAAATATGTTTAATATTACATATTAAATACATTTATCAACATTAATTATTTTGAATTGTGGTAAAACGATATGTCACATATTTTTTTATAAAAATTTGTAAAAATGTTTATTTTAATTTATATAATTAAATATTAAAATTTTAAATTTTGAAATAAAATAAATTAAATGATTTTAAGGATGTCAATTTGGAAGAAAAGTGAGAAAATTCCTAAAATGCTAAAAATGAATTTTCCAAACGTACTTTTTTATCTCATTTTTTTGATTTTGAAAAAAACTTGGAGAGAAGAACTCTTCGTTTTTGAATTTTGTCACGATGGTTTTAAAGTATATTAGACACATATATTGATATTACTATTTTTGTATATTTTGAGAGAAAATCCCTAAAAAGTGAGAAAATCTGAGACGGTTTGAGAAAATATATAAACTATTGAAAATTTGAATTAAACTTCTAATTTGGAAAAAGAAATTTGGAAAGAAGAAAATTCAAAAATCGAGATTTAGACTCAGTATCAAATGGAGAACAAAATGTTTCTTCATATGAAGGAAAAAAATTTTCTTGAGAAGAAATAGAGTTTTTTAAAATTTTATTGTATGTAATAAAATAAACAAATATTAAAATTATTTTTTGATAACAAGAAAATTCCCAACAGAAAATATTTGAGACAAAGAAAAAAGAAAATTGAAAAATATTACTCTCCTTTACATTTCTTGAAATTTTCAATTTATTTTTATAAAATTGACAATTTTATACGTTTAGATGAAAATAAGTGATTTTGCTTGAAATAAAAATTATTGTTTGTTTACAGCTATCAAATAGATTTTTGCTATTTTGATTAAAATTTGTTAATCAAATTAATAATTTTTTTCTAAATATCTTAAATATCTGGATCACTCACTGATACGATGAATTAAACGATAAAAATAATACAAACTCAACTAAGTTTCCTGTCTTTCAACCAAAAAATATTATGCAATTTAAATTAAATTGTTTATTCAAATATAAAACAAAGATGAAATAATTACAGTTATCATAAACTTTATGAATAACTCTGTAATTGGTTCAGATTTTCGTAAAAATATTTTTATTAAAATCAATAAGAATACGTTTACCTACTATCATCACATATCTATAAACAAGAGTAGAGTGATTTTTATCATCGAAACTTTTTAAAAGCTGCAAGCTGGAAGTAAAAATCTTGTTTTTTTTCTGAGTTAGTTGTAGAACTATTGATTCCCGAGTTATCATTGTGATGTAGAAGGATGTCAATGTACTGACTGAAGGATATGAAGTGAATTGAATTTCATTGAATTTCAATTTGATCAAATTTGTTGAAATTACATGAATGTGTCAACATCTGTATCACTCTCCTTCACTTCTTCCCTATTTTTTCGAGAACGAAGCTAGCTCAGCTTTCGCTGAGCGAATTGACACTTTTGATGCCCTAAACGTACATACTCTCAAATTTATCGAAAAAAATAATACTACCTAAACTCGTATATTCTTATTTTAAATATGATATTATCCTTAGATTCCACACTAGAATATATTTAAATCAACTTTTAAAAAAGTTCGAATCCTGCGCGTCTCACTTTTTAAATTTTCCAAATGGAAAATTATATTCTCCTAAAACGAAAACAATTTTCCGAATTGACATCCTTAATGATTTAAAATATTTATGACAATCAGAAATAATTTTCTGTTATAAATTTTTATATTTTTGAATATGTCAGAAAATTGAGAAAAACATTGAATTTTATTTTCAACGGTTTATAAAAAATCAGATTTATTAAACCTTCCACAAATTAGTTTAGTGACTATGAGTTTTATTTTATTTTTTATTTCTTACATGATTATTTTTTATTTTTGATTAATTTTAGAAAAAATATGAAAAAAATAAACAGTTTATAGTATATAAAACAAATATGTATATAGTATATAACATAATAAACAAGTCATTTTCGTTAATTATTTTGTATTTTCTTCATCTGCATCTTTTTCTTCAATTTCTACATCATCGACATTGAATTCGGATGGTTTTGGTTCTTCTTCATCTTCAATCTCGAAATTCTCTTCTTCTTCATCGTAATCGTCATAAGAATCAGATTCACCTAGTTCGTAGAGGTAAATGCTGTGAACAGCCTTTCCAACTCTTTCTGCAGCATCAGGACGTCTTATCAACAGTGAGTTAAACTGTAATGTCTGTAATCCGTCGATTTCGGAACCATTTTCTCTCACAACTTCCATCATTTCGCTGTTTACGTAATTGTTGTTGTTTTCTGTGTCCTCTGTATCGTTTTCTATTGAATTTTGTTGTTTCATTTCAGGTTCGAACGGAAGAGGCAAACCAACAACGTTTGTAATAGCAGCATGTGTCTTAAGTTCATAATTAGACAACAATCCAGCTAAATCAACTGTTGCTTTGTCGATAATTTCATTAAGAATTTCATCATCTTGCATTGTAAGGTCAGAATGTACTCCCTCGCGTGCTCTGTTCTTAGATAAGTTGTTTTCAAGCCTTGTCTGGAGGTTTGTGATCTCCGAAATGCGTCTTTTCATGAGATTTTCCTCTTCTCCGACAATTAAATCGAAAATGTCTTCAACAGGAAGCGGAGCAGCGAGCAGGGAGTAATCAGTTGCCAATGTATCCATGTAAGAAGCTATTTGGGAGAAATCTGATGGATGGGAACCGTCACAAACAACAGATTTGATATTTGTGCAACTCAAAACGAGATTGGTGAGACATCTTAAGCCAATATCGCCTATATTATTATTGGAAAAGTCAATCATCTTGATTGTTGGTGAAATTCTTAAAGCGCAAATTAATTGAATTAAATCTTTTCCTAATTTGTGCGAATCGTCACCTCTAATGATGATAGACTCCAAGGTGGAGATGTTTGCAATCTGCGATAACTCGTAGGAGATGTTCGGAGTGCCTTCTTTGAAGATTCTCGAAAGAGAAAGCTTGGAGAGACGAACGAAGTCGCTGGACTTCTGGACAAATGACCTTAGATTATCCACAGAAATATTGCAGCCATCTAATACAAGGGATCTGATTTTCAATGGAATTTTTTCAGAAAAGAAATTGAAAATCTCTTCAAAATCATCGGAACTGAAATTTACATCGGCCAATGATAAATCTATCTTTTCTACGTGTTCGTTCACTCCAATTGAATTTATCAGCATTAACATGTCTTCCTTTAGGAATTTACAGCCATCTAAGCATAGGTATTTTAATTTAGGAGCATTGTGGACGAAATCACAAAGAACTTCCCCGGAATCAGAAAGATTTGTATTTGTTATCGAAATCTTTTCAATTTGGAAGCCGCTCTGGCTGATAAATGCTATTATTTGGCCTACATTACTAACATACGATAAATGTAATGACTTTAATCGTATGAATTCGTTATGAAATATTTCTTGAAGGAATTCCATGATCAAATCCGCATTATAAGCGTTAATTCTTGATCCTAATAAAGATATCTCTTCAATGTCATGCATATATTCGTTCGCCGTGATGCTTTGGAAGAGTAATGAAATTGATAAATCTGATAACTCGCAAAAGTTCAGTTTTATCGATTTCACGGGTGCTCTGTATGTTGACAATGCTGCAGTGAATGCCTCGGTGTCTGTAAGCTTGTTTTTGGAGAAATCCCAGTAAACTATATTTGAATTTTGAGAATTTTCCATTGCATGAGCGATTTGAACGCAGCCATCGACAGCTTCGGCATCAGTGATCTTAATTATCCTGATACTTTCGTTTTGTTCGATAATCGGAGCTATTGATTGAAAAATGTCGTGGCGAGTGAAGTTATTACAGACAAAACCATACGTAAATGGCGTATAGACTAAACTGGACGTAATTGGTCGCAATTCTGCTGAATCTTGTAAGCCATATTCCAAAATTTTCAGTGGAAGTTTGGTCAAATCGAAAATGCAGTTTCCTGATGTTAACAGGCTGTGGTAAAACATAGGAATCTCGTGGTAATAAGTCGTATCGTAATAAGAACAAAAAGCATTATAAGTAAATTGGAAAATTTGGGAAGGAGATAGGCTCGGATGGAATGGAGGGAAGAAGTCCATGTTGTGGCAAGTGAATTTAAACCTTAGATTTGCAGGTAAAGACGGATTTGATAAAATAAAATTGCGAAGAATGCTGCGGATGAACCTCATACATACTGGAGTGCATATAGTAATTGATTCATTACCATATTCAATGACAGCTGTTCGATCATCTAATGTAGAAATTGATGTAATCTTAAATAGATGAAATGATGTAAAGAATTTCAATGTAAAGATTAAAAATCCTGGTGTACATATTGTAATCATATGCTCTGATAAAGCAATCGCCGCATTATTGTATTCTTTGTTTTCATATATGAAATTTGCTCGGAAAGCAAGGTGAATTTTCGCTTGGTGAAGTGGGACTATCCTTTCTATTGCTTTTTGCTCAGCTGGAGTTAAGTGATAATCAAAATTCTGTGGAAGTTGCATCAAATTATGAAAAAAATGAAATAAAATTTTCGCCAAATTTTTCAGGACTTTACAATTAAAAAACTTTAATCGGAAATTCAATAGTTGAGATTTTTCAGTGTACAATCATAGAATTTACTTTGTTGAGTTGATGTTCGTGTATACTTTACTTTATTTTGTATTTCTGGTGGATATTTACTAAAAAAAACAGAAGATTTGTTTGAAATCTTAACACTCATAGTTGTAAAACAAAGTCAGACTTCATTATTTGAGATTATTTCATGGTGTACAAGTAATTAATGCATAAAAATATCAACAATGTATTTTCATTCACACTTCTGATAGATAATTCATTAATAACAAGTAATACATGTTTTGGATTTTGAAAGAATGACAACTTAATAATGAATTCCATCTATTCAATAGATGAGAAATCCGATGATTTCATTCAATCAAAATTTTACTAGTTTTTCATATCAATTGGAAGAATCCATTCACATTCTGATTTTATGTATTCTTATAATTTTCATGGAATTGAGTGCAATTGTTAATTTAAAAATAATTTAAAATTTTGATTTTTATTATTAACTTAAGGTTGGGCTGGGTTATTTTCTTTAGTATCTGGTGAATCTTGGGCGTTTTCTGCTTCTTTCTTCTTCCGATTGATGAAGAAAAGAACAAGTCCAACAACAATTCCTGCAATTACAAGAATTACAACAATTGCAACGACAATTGGAATCCATACAGAGCTACCACCATTTGATCCTTTTGGACTCTCTTTCACGCTATTTACTCCTGTTATTTTTATTGGTCCATTGTTACTAGGAACTTCACCTGAATAATCGGGGAATAAAAATTCCTCATCTTCAGTTGATGATCTTCCTCCGGAAAGAGTGATTGTGAATTTACTATCAAATCCACTATTGTAGAGTTGGAATAAATCCGATCCTTGTGTTTTTATAATTTTTTGCCCTTTTATTAATGTAGACTCTTCATCTGTAGGCCTTGCAAAATATGCTCCTAACTCGGATTCGATCGTGATGGTTAATGGTTTCAAAGATATAAATGAGTACCCCTTTGCTGTCTTTGAAGCTTGTCCGTTATATAGTCCTTTAATTACAGTATCAACAAATAAATTAGTTATTTTCGTGGATGGTATAATTTGAGAAATTTGAATTTTGCAATCATCGCAGGTAATTTTTGAATAAACACGACCGCCATCATTTACGTTTAAAAATAATGGACTTGCTGCTGTAAAATCAGAGGTCCAAGTGCCTTGTGAATCTCTAGTTTGTCCTTTGACAGAGTAATTTTTATTAGCAGAAAGAATTACAGGAACGGTTGTTCTTAGGCACTCATTTGCTTTAAGATTGAATGTCTTTATAATACTGTCTTTCTCTGTGTAAGAATAATTACATTCACCATTATAAGATTCATCTATTTCGTATTGGATTGCTCTATTACGTTTTGACTCTGCAATCCAAGCATCTGTACTTGAAATTGGCCCATTAATTGCGGGAACAATTCCCTCATAAACTTGAAATTGGTTTGCATCAAAAATACCATTATAAGTTCCATAATGATCAACTTTGGTTAATGTTGGACCAGAAGCTGTTATTTCAAGAACAAACGGACCTTGTTCTTGATACATTTGAAAAGTACCAGATTCTTCCTTATCTTTATAGAGAACTTTTATTGAATTATTTGATGATATTGTTAAGTGTTCTAAAGCATTTTTATATATCACACCAATATAAATTTTCTTATCTTTGTTTGAAACTATTTGAAAATCTCCTTTTGCAATGTTAACAATGTAAGTTTCATGAATTGATCCATCATTTCCTGTCCCATCAATTAACATAAAGAAAAGATTGATTGTCTTTGATGTATTAACTGCAGATATTTTGTAATATTTTTGGCTATCAATATGATTCAAAAAGAGAGGATTTTCAACCTCAAATTGAATTTCATCACTAAATTTCACTTGACCATTCTCAAAAGTTGTTGTTTTGTATGATAATTTATACCTCTCTTCATCAGAGTATGTAGCAATCATTGCATCAGCATTTGTGGCCAAACATTGTCCAGCTGGAATTTCGATTGTTTGAAATTGGTATTTTGCCAGTATTACTGGGATGCTTACAGTACATTCTTGAAATGGATTATCTATGGAGATAATCCAGAGTGAAATCATTAAAATTATGAATTCTGGAGTTTACATCCAACGGCGAAATTCGATTCAAATTTAAATATGCAAAAAAGCATGAAATAATGATTTATTATTGAAATGTTTATTTGTTGTAGTTACATATGATCCTGTTTTATCAGTAGTTGGTATAATCTTTGATACTTGAACTGAACATTCCTTTGCTTCATGACATGTTATCTTTGAATAAACCTTATGTTCTTCATCTTTAACTGACAAGAACAGTGGGTTTTGTGATGTAAATGTTCCCTGATATCTTCCCTTTTTATCTATGACTATTCCTTCAGCATCATAATTTTTATTTCCAGAAAGAATTACTGGTGTTGAAGTTCGCAAGCATTCACCTGACTTAAGATTGAATGTTTTGACTGCATTATCATTCCTTGTATATGAGTGTTGGCATTTAGAATAGTAAGATGAATCTACTTTGTCATGGTATGCCTGATTGTAATCGAATGTTGCTTTCAATGCTTCTTGATATGTAATTGGTCCGTTGATTAGAGGAACGATTCCTTGATAAAATATGTGCTTATTTAAATCATAGACTGAATTACTCATTTCAATATAATAATCAATTGTTGTTCTGGTTGGTTCGTCATACTTTATTTCAAAAATATATGGATTAGCGGTGGTCACACTTTGAGAGTCCCCGTCATGGGTCGTAGTGCCATTCTTTAATTCCATACTTGCATTTGACGCAAAATTTACATGCTGATATTGATACTTTAAGATAAAGGCAATGCAAACATCTTTGTCTTTATCAGAAATTATATTAAAATTGCCAGAATTTAAATTGACAATAAAACTATCCCTTGTCACAAATTGGGATCTAATTGTTGGATTAATTTTAGAAAAGAAGAGAACAATTTCCTTTTGAGGATTAACAGCTTGTATTTTGTAATAATTCTCTACTGAACTTCCGTCTTTATTTAAAAATAATGGATTTTCATATTTATATTCAATTTCGTTACTAATTCCCTCACCATTTTCGCATGGCATTGTTTTGTAAGATACCTTATATTTTGTTTCATTATCAAGAGTTCCGATCATTGCACTGCTCCATGTAGCGAAGCATTGTCCAGGTGGAATTGTAATTGTTTGGAATTCATAATATTTGGCATCTTCCTTTTCCTTTACGGTGCATTCTGGGAAGTGATAATCAAATGCAAGAAGCCATAAGAGGTACATTTAATATAAAGTAATGAATATTTCATAAGTTTACATTCAACGATCAATACAATTGATATTTTTGATTTATAAAACAATCATATTACCAAAAAATATATAGGAATAAGAATGATAAAATGACTTATTGAAATTTCAATCTGCTTTATCACAAATTAAAGGAAAAAAAATTGCGCCGTTGGAAAATTTATTGAGACCTTTAAATAGCATTCTATGCTATTTTTATGAAAGAATTTTAAATTTAGAACGAATTTTATCAAAATTTTCAGAGAAGTTTTCAATCTTCTGAAATGATCTGATAAAATTTAAAACAATTTTAAAATGCAAGCTCCGTTTTGTTAATAGATTATAAAAATCAAGCATTGAAAATTGAATAGATTATAAAAATCGTTTTATTTTTCTCAAAATAATACCACTAATTTTTAGCTATTTATCTTGCTAAAACTTATTTTAATGATTTTGATTTGCTTGATTGAATTTATTTGAGAAAAGAAATTGAAGGTCTTTTCCGGTAATAAATAATTTTAGGAAATTAAAATTCATTTCCGTGTTATAAATTGAATATTCAAGTTGATAGTATCATGAAGATCAGTTAAATTTAATTAATGAAGATTTTTTTAAAAGTTGGTTAGATTCTATACGATAGCACATATCCCGAGAGTTTCAGTAATTAAAATGTCATTTGAAATTTAAAATCGATATTAAACTAATTTTTTATATTATTCGTAACAAAAAGTACAAAAATAAAGAATTTATTGGTTATAGCTTAATGACAGTGTTCCAACATTTCCTTGGCATCCAGCAAATAAATTATTGGTTTCTGGAAAATAAATATTCTCCTTTATTTCCTATGATCAAACAATTTAAATAATGATCACACTCATTCTCTTATTAAGGAGGCTCATAAAAAAAAGAATATAAAAATAGAATTTTTATACATTCAAATTGTTTAATTTTGATTAAAGTGTCTATTCTTATTTTTCTGATTGAAGACCCAAATTTATTAACAAAGAGTTTTCAATGTTGTTATTTTTGTTAGGGAGAGAAAAAAAGTAAGTCTTCAGGTTTCCTTTGCCATTGAGAAAGATCTCGCGGCGTTCTTCGATGGTGTAGTCGATACCATCGATGAGGGAGTTCGTGCATTCTGAAATTTGAACACGTCCATGGATATCTTTAGACTCTAATCATGCGGCAGAATTTATTGAGTCACCGATGATGTAGAATGTTGGTTTGTCGCTTCCAAGGACACCACAGATTAGTGGACATCCACTGTTAACACCAATACGGACTTCGAGAGATGATTCAAGGTTTGAATTTATATATAAAAATCTAATTAATTATCAAAGATAAAAAAAGATTCAAATGCGATATATAGAATAAAGAGGATATTTGCTCAAATTAATGAAAAGAAAAAACACATTTATAAAGCAATTTTTATTTTAATTTAAAATATAAAATCATTGATCAGTCTTTGCGCCATGATCATAGAGGAATCTAGTGGAAATTCGTTTGGATTAACATAATATGGATTTGAAAATAATGAAAATTCCATAAGATAATGATAGATATTAGCATAAAGAGAAAGAGCTTCATATTTACATCTGCACCATGTTCAACCAAATATTTCACAATTTCGAAAGAATTCTTTTGGATTGCATAACTGAGAGGACATTTATATGAAATTCCATAAGTAAATAATAAGTAATAAAGTAAAGATAATTTGATATAACAATGATAGATATAATAAATATATATAGAATTCTATAAACCAATGACAGATATGAAAAGAAATATGGTTTTATAAATCGCTGAATAACATGAGAAAAAATAGCACTTCACAACAAATTGATAGATATGAAAATAAAGAGAATAAGTTTCATGTTTACATATGCACTATGTTCAACCAAGAATTGAACAATTTCGAAGGAATTTACTTTGATTGCATCACTGAGGGGACATTGATTAATAATAAATGTATCTTATTATTCAATGATAGATATTTATAAAGAGATAATTCTGTAATACAATTGTAAATATGAAGTCATTAAAAATACGATAATTCAAAGGTCAATATGAAAAGAAATTGAATGCGATAAATTAATGATAAATATGAAAAGAAGATGATTGTCAAAAAGTAATGGGAAATATGAAATGAAAATTAATCCACTGAAAAAATAATTAATGTGAAATTAAAGACAAAATGTATCTTGTTGACATCTGCACCATATTCAACTAACAGTTTGACCATTTCAATTGAATTTTCGTTAATTGCAATACTTAGTGGAATTTCATCAGTTTAAACCAAATTGAATGAGACAAATGAAAATATATAAATTTATAGAATGTTAGAAATCAATGAATTATATAAAATCAAAGAAAATTGCATAATTCGAAGATAAATGTTAATACATAGATAATCCAATAAAACAATAATGGATATTAAAACAATGAGAATATAAAAAAACAATGACAAATATAAAAAGAAAACTAATTACATTAAAATAAGATAAATATGAACATGAAAAGAATTCGATTAATTATTGAAGAATATAATAATTAGGAGAATATAATAAAACAGTAATAGATATACTAAAACGAATCAAATAAATTAATGATAAATTTGATAATAACGAGAATATAATAGAACAATGATAAATATAGATATAAAAATAATAGAATAAAGAAACAATTAATATAAGAAGAAAGATAAAAAGTCTTATGTTGACATCAGCACCATGCTCTATTAGGAATTTGATAATTTCAATTAAATGATCTCTGATTGCATCACAAAGAGGACAATAATTAATATTAAATGAATTTCATTAATCAATTATGAACATGAATATTAAAATAACATCTTAAGTCAATGATAGATATAAACTCGAAGGGAATTTCATAAAACAATAGTAGATATTAAAAGATATGGAATTATATATTACAATGAATAATAATAAATCTAAGCGAATACAATAAAACAACAAGAGATATTAAAAGAATTGGGATATAATTAAATAATGAAGGGTGTGAAATTGGAAACAATTCCATAATCAAATAAAAGATTTGAAAACAAAGAGAATTATAATAAGCAAAGATGGATATAACAATAGATAGAATTCTATAAAACAATGATGTAAATGAATAGACAAAAAATTGAATTTTTTGTTGATATCTGCTCCTTTTGAAAGTAAATATGATGCAACATCATAATTTCCGTAATATAGAATTTCTGCAAGTGCGTCAGGAAATTGTCCCAAATTTGATTTAAGATATTCAGCAATATCATAATGTCTATTTCCCAATGCAATGTTAATCATTCTATCAAATTTTCGGCCATCTTCAATCATTTGGGAAAAAATGTATGCATTTCCACTCTGAATAGCATACTTTTCTGAGTCTCTGGAATAATAAGATCCTTGATTCCTCAAGTAATTGAAACATAATTCCGACCCGAATAAAATTGCACACTCAAATGGATCCAAACCATACCTTCTATCAATGTTAAATTCAAGATTTGGGAATTTCCTTTTAAGATCATCAACCTTGTCCCATGCAATGTAATATAAAGGAGACTCTGTTGGGAATACATTGAGTATTTCTTCTTTAGTAAATTGAGGTTCATATAGTTTCCAAATTTAAAACCTTTATAAAATAATGCACTTGCTAGTCTATAAGTTTCAGGAAAAAATAGTAAGAAAATTCATTTGATATCTTTTGATAAAAATCAGCAAAATTTACAACATCTTTATAACGAAGTCTTGAATAAATATCTACCAAGTGAAATACCATTTGAATGGATATTTTGTTTGATTTAATAAGTTCTATGATTTGTAATGATTGCTGTAAAACATTATTTGAGTTGATATCCCAAATTAATTTGGATGCTTTGCATGGGTACTCGAATACATCAATAGGATTAATATTGCTAAAATCATTGAAATCATCAATTGCTGCCTCCTCTGAACATGACATATTTTGTTGTAATTATATTTTAAAAAGTGTCAAAAAAGTATTGTCAAAAAGATATTGTAAATATAATCTTTCAACTAATTTATCAATGCTTCATTAGTGGAATCAAATGACCTCCATATATACATTGGGGAAAGATTGTCACACTTATAGAAAATATTAGCGAAGTGAGTAATTTAATTTTTTAAATATCGGATTTTAATTACATTTTCATGATTCTATATTTCTTTGAAGGTTATTAAAGATATGATATTACACAATGTTCTTATTTCTTGGTGATTACTTGAATTTCAATGTCATTTTTCATACATTTGTCCAAATTAATGGTCATAAAAATTTTGGGGTATTATTATTGTCGTCTGGCGGTTTTAGACGACAATGCGAATTTTCAAATAATAGGATTTTTAGCCAGATAAAGAGCTACTCCATATATCATGCGTGTTTGCATACTATATACATAGATGGAATTGATGTTCTTCCTTTATTTAGGTACCGAAACATGCTTGAAAAATCTATTTTTTAGACGACAATGATAATTTTGTCACTTTTCCAGACGACAATAATAATTTGTCACCTTTTTAGACGACAATAATAATTTTGTCACTTTTTCCAGACGACAATAAAACATCCTCAAAAATTTTATTATGAATTTGCATAAAATTCATAATAAAAAGAAATGTCGAATGTATAGTGTCGAATCACTTGCTTCTTTAATAAGCATTGAAACTTGTTCATTTATATGCATGAAAATGCACAATCTGCATCAATGAAATCTGAATTGAACTCAACAAGAATTACCCGCAAATATTTGTTATCGGTTAAAGATTTCCACTATATATAAATAAACTGGCTTAGCATTTAACACATGACATACAAGATGTTCTAGCAAGTTCGATTGAAAAGACCTTTAGTTGAGTCACCAAAGTCAATATGAATTGGTGACGCTGCATCATAATACTGGATTGGTTGTGGTCATTTAATCCAATATCATTTTCTGCCAAGTACAACAATGCTGTTGAATCTGTGACTTGATCGCTGCGTTTATCCACTTGCTGATGATGTTGGAGATTTGAGGAACCATTGTAATCCATATGTGGACATTATTGTTTTAAAAAAATAGAATAAATAAGCCGAATTAAAACTCTAAGAATCAATATTCACTTAAAAAACGAGTAATTGTGAAATTGCAAAAACAAAAAATTTTATTCAAAATGATGAAAATCAATCATTTTTCTCATGATCAACATCATCAATGCTATAAATTTCGCAATATGTTACAAATAAATAAACAAAAATAAAAACTAAAATTAAAATTCCGATATAAGGGAACAAAAATTCGAATTTCTTAGCATAAGGCTGCAGATTCCTTCTATAGATACCTAATATACCAGCGCCTGGTCCTGATCCTGAAATTTTCCCATTCCAAACTTTAATTGCCCATTCAATGACTTTATCTTTGTCATAATTGTCCAAAAAGTCATACCAGATGTCCAAATAGTTATTGTGGATTGCAAAGAATGGTCTTCGAGCTGGATTGACGCCAATTGAACGACAATAAGTTTCCATCTCCAAACAATCGGTATCTGCGATCTTCATACCATCAGGAAGTTGTAGAGTAATGTTAAAAACATCTAATGTGTGCTTTTTATAGTAATCTTCTAAAATAATAAAAGGTTCGTGTAAATCTTTCTGAATTTTGAAAAATAGCGATGAAGGATTACAGTACTTAGGATACAGATGTGCGTATATGAATCTTTCGACTTCTTTCGCTTCCCATGCTTGATTATATTCTAAAGTCTGATTTAATAAGGGAAATTGGTAATATAAGAGTGGTTTGTCAGTGTTATAGTGCTTGTATGAGAAATTGTAGAATCTGGCTGGATATTCATCATATTTTGTCGCAAATTCTAAAAATAATTCTGAATAAGATGTGCGTTGCAGATCTTGTAAGAAGAATAATGATAAATTCTGATTTATTTCTAATTCTGATTGCAATTGTTCTTCATCTTCAATCTGAATCACAGGAGGTTCAATATATTTTCGAATAAATGATTTTAGTTCTTCATATGTGCGAGATTCGTTGTATAAACGTGATTTTTCGGCTGTTGTTGTGGCCATATATACTCTAGGAACACCTTCTCCTTGAAATTTTTTACATAATACTGGTTCTTTTTCGCATGAGATCTTTTTCATAATAATTTTATCATTATCTTCGAAAAATGAATCAAGTTTTGCTTGAACATTCTTGTATTCGTTACATCTTGAACACCAAACTGATTCAAGTGAAATTAAAACCGGTTTATGCTTTTCCTCTGTTAGTAACCTGTCTGCTTCTGCTAATGTGAGATATGGAATCTCGCAAATTGAAGCTTGAAGGAAGAGATAAAACATTTTTAAAAAATTTGTCAAAAAAGTCTTGTAAAGTTCTCAAATCTTCCTCATATATGAAATCAAAGAAGTGTTTCGACAGAAAATTTGATAGAAAAGGGTAAATTTTCTTGCAGAAATAGAAAATATATATTGTAAAAATAGTTACTATGGAAGTCCCTAGTCCAGGAATACGATTATTTATCTGAAAAAATAAAATAATCGTCTGACAAGGGTAAATTTATTTCTTAACCATTATGTTTATTATAATAAGAACTTCTTATTTTAAATCTTTTTAAAAATTGTGATGAAGTAAACCTTTGAAAAATTCTCAGAAATTAAATTAAATCCAAATTTAAAGAGAAAATTTGGATGTTTTTATAAGTTACATTTATTTGTGATTAATAATTGCATTAAATTTTTAATATTTGGATAATTTGCAAATTTCTCAAAATTGCATTCATATACGATCTTCATACTTTAAAATATTTCTATATATCAATATATCTATTAATATACAAAGTGGCAATGAAAATTTCGAAATGAAAAGCAATTTTAAATATATTTGAGTGTAAAAAGTGATAGATTCGATAACAAACAATATTAATATATTTATTATGTCACATGATATCTACTCACCAAGCCACTGGCTCGGGCATTGAGGTCTGGGGTCGAAACACTTCTGAAATCAAATTAATTTTTTGCAAATCAAGAATCTTCTCATATATAAGTTACATAGTAAAGAAGCCATTTCAGCTTACTTTATAAAGAGAAATCCACAAATGCATGATAAAATTGCAATAATTTGTGCTGAATTTACCTTCTATGAGAGTTTTAACTTACAATAGATATGCAATTATCAGATTAGCTATTTAATTGAAGTAATATTTCAGATGATAAAAGTTTTATTTATTTTATATGATAAATTACTAAATTAAACAAACTTTTTAAAACAATATGAAAATATAAAGATATTGAACAGTTAACCTAAAAGAAACAACAGAATTATATTTACAACTTGGACATTTTGAATTAAAATAGTAAGAAAGATAACAAACGCCTGTTTCAGAGCTATTCAAAGCTGTTGTTGCCTTCCCAAAGATCGATGAAGGACCGTTTTCATATACAAAAATTGTAACATGTGGACTTAAAACAAAAGGTTTAATTGCAGATTTTTCAACAATATTTCCGCAAAAATACACAGATACATTTGAAATTATTAATCCTAGAAAACTGCTTCCAATTGAACTCAGATTTGTACCAAATGGAAAAACTACTTTTTCAACCCTATGAAAATGATATATACTTTCATTGTCGATCGTTGTGAGAGTTGGAGGAAGAACAAGAGTAGTTAGATATAAATTTCGAATTCCATTTTGGCCAATTTTAGAAATAGGAGCTAATATGATGAGTGTCCTAAGATAATCTGCATCTTGTAGTGCTGCATGACCAATTTCTGTAATAGGATACCCTTTGAAGCTTTCTGGAATTATTAATTTATTTATTCTGCATGAATGTCTTCCATGAAATCCATTCAGTTTGTTATATAGATTTCCATCACCTAAGATATAATGATCTGTAGAAAATGTGTAAACAAGATCACAAGGATTGATGCTCGAAACTTTTTTAAAAGGTTTATTTCGAATATATCTAGAATTTAATATAAGAAGATAAGAATTCTTTTAAAAACCTTCCTAAATCGATAGTAAAGCATAAATCACGTTTAATCATTTCTTAATTAGTATCTTTCTCCTTCAATATCAAATATAATGCTAAAATCGTATAGATTTGTATCAATTTAAAGACATTGTTCATTCATGAAGACCATATTTCTAATAACATTTATCCATGGTCGGTCAAATCATTGATAATCATAAGTACATTTAAGAGTATAACACTAAAGAGAGAAAAAAAGATTTGATTCTAATGTTTCTATGTCACTTTTGAAGTTTTGGCTCAACAAACACTTTTGTCATGATCTCTGAATATTTACACAAATATGCCGACATTATTGATGCATACGAACAGCTATTTTGCTTAAGTTCAACTGACTCAGCAGACCGTGTTCTTGATTTGATATCATCGATTATTATCACAAAGTATAAAGTACCAGTGAACGATATTATAGGAAGTGTTCTCTTAGCAGCTCAATTTAACTATCGATCAATAATTTTATATTTCAAAATTATTGTGCATCTTCTTGCTAAACTTTATGATGTTCCAAATTTAAGTATAATTGATGAAAATGTTGAATTGTTTTTGACAAAAGAATTTGGCTCAGCCGAAATCAATCAAATCGAAGAATCGTTTCCAAAAGAAGATGAAATTCAATACATTATTATGTATGATCAAATCGATAGATTTAGAGAATATGTTACAAATCACTCAATAGATCAATTCTCAATGGATGCAATGCAATATTACAATCTCTCTCTTGTTGAAGCATGTTGCTATTTTGGATCTGTTAATATCTTTTATTTCCTCATTTCAAATTATGAAATTGAAATCAACAAAAAATGCCTTGAAATGTCTATTATTGGTAGAAATACAGACATTATCAATGAATGCATGAAAAATAATGAATTGGATAGAAACATGCTTGATACAGTTATGACTTCTCACAACAATAAATTCCTCGAATATCTTCTCGAAAGAGATTTGTGTAAACCAGAAGATTTCTCATTCAAATTAATCATCATGTCTCATAACTTGAAAGGAGTTTTCCTTCTATTCGATAAAGATAAAGATTCAATTATTCCATGGTGTGCAACATTTCCACAATCAATCGACATTTTAAGAGATCATATTCAAAATCTAAATTTAACAAAGACAGACAAATACGACAAAAACATTTTACATTTTGCATGTTTACACAATAATATCGAAATATGCAAATTGATTTTGAATTCATCATTTGCTGATCAAAAATTTATAAATTCATTCAAATTTCCTGACAAAACTGCTCTCCATTATGCAATTAAGAATAATAACAAAGAAATGGTTGAACTTCTTATTTCACATGGCGCAGATGTTAATGCACAAAATAATGGAAGTTATTCGCCTCTTCATTATGCTGTCACTAAAAATTGTAATGTTTTGATTGAAACACTTGTTTCACATGGTGCTGATATCAATGCAACATATGGATATGATAATACCACAGCTCTTCATATTGCAGTTGAAAATAATTCTAAAGAAGCAGCACAAATTCTTATTTCACTTGGTGCAGATCTCAATATGAAGACAAAGTTTAAAGAATTCACTCCTCTTCTGAGTGCAGTCTTTGAAAATAAGAAAGAAATAGTGGAATTTCTTATTTTTTCACGGCGCAGATATAAATGCTACAGACCATAATGGACAGACAGCTCTTCATAATTCGGTAATTGCAAATAATACTTTAGAAATTGCAGAGCTCCTCATATCGCATGGTGCAGATGTCAATTCAAAAGATAATAATCAATTTACCCCATTACATACAGCAGTTGACAGCGAAAAATTAGATTTCATTAAATTTCTAATTTCGCATGATGCTGATATTCACGCCAAAACAGATACTGGAGCAACAGCACTTCATTTAGCAGCCAGAAATTATAATTTAGAAATCACATTATATCTCATTCTTCAAGGTCTAGATGTGAACGACAGAGATAATAATGACAAAACTGTTCTCCATTATGCTGTTGTAAGTAATTATTATGATGAAGATGATGAAGATGAATGTCAAGATTTAGAAGAGCTTCTTGTTATACGTGGTGCTGATGTTAATGCGAAAGATAAAAATGAAACAACTCCTCTACATCTTGCAGTTAAAAACAACAACAAAGTAGTTGCCGAATTTCTTCTTCAAAAAAGGGCAGATGTTCATGCAAAGAATAATGAAGGGCAGACTGCTCTTCATATAGCAGCAATATCTAATGGTAAAAATACTATAAAACTTCTCATTCAAAACGGTGCAGATATAAATTCCAAAGATAATTATCAGAAAACTCCTCTTCATTATGCAATCGCAATTTATCAATCAATGATAATTATCAATGAAATTCTTAAAACGAAAGGATTAGATATCACAGCAAAAGATAACTCTGGAGAAACTGCTCTCCATTTAGCAGCTAAAGGTAATAGCAAAGCATTAATAAGACATTTGGTTGAAAATGGAGCAGATATCAACTCACACGATGATATTGGGCGTTCTCCAATACACATCGCCGTCGAAAATAATAAAAAATCAATAATTGCTCTCCTTAAATCACTTGGAGCAGATATCAATTCAAGAGATAATTATGGAGAAACTCCTCTTCATTATGCACTTCATCAATGTAGAAAAGAAATTGTAGATTTTCTTATTTCGCAAGGTGCAGATATCGAAGCAAAAGATAATAATGGTCGAAAAATAATTCATATTGCTGCTGAAAATGGCAGAGTTGGCATTGTTGAAAAACTTATCTCATTAGGTGCAGATTTAAATTCAGCAGATAATCAAGGACAAACTCCCCTTGATATTGCTTTAAACTATAGCCGTAAAATTGCAACAATTCTCATGCAACATGATGCCGTCGAATAAAGCTCTCATGAACTGTAAAAATTATTAATATATATGTCTTGTACTCATAAAATATATGATATGAAACTAGCTTAATTATTTTATATTAATTTTTATCGAAAAATAGCATGAATCACACTTACATTGAACAAACATTATGAAACTATTTAATTGCATTACTTAAGAATATCTTGTCCTTTTAAAGAACTTATAAGCTTGAAAATGAAATTCAAATGTTTCAAAAGATACTCAAACGGTAATTTTGAATTTCTGCATTTTAATTTATAGCTCAGATATGATGATGTGAGTTGATACACTTCGTTCTATATATTAATTGAAAATAAATATATTTACTGCAGTTAATGAAAGCTTATAAACATTCTTAACAATCTTTTTGAATTTTTTTATCTGATACATCTTTATCATAAAAGTATGTACTAGGACATCCTTCAACTGCATAATGAGATAGAAATGAATCATTCAAAATGTGATTTATGCTTTAGTATCAATTTAGGAAGGTTTTTTAAAGAATCCTTAGCTTCTTATATTAAATTCTAGATATATTCGAAATAAACCTTTTAAAAAAAGTTTCGAGCATCAATCCTTGTGATCTTGTTTACACATTTTCTACAGATCATTATATCTTAGGTGATGGAAATCTATATAACAAACTGAATGGATTTCATGGAAGACATTCATGCAAAATAAACAAATTAATAATTCCAGAAAGCTTCAAAGGGTATCCTATTACAGAAATTGGTCATGCAGCACTACAAGATGCAGATTATCTTAGGACACTCATCATATTAGCTCCTATTTCTAAAATTGGCCAAAATGGAATTCGAAATTTATATCTAACTACTCTTGTTCTTCCTCCAACTCTCACAACGATCGACAATGAAAGTATATATCATTTTCATAGGGTTGAAAAAGTAGTTTTTCCATTTGGTACAAATCTGAGTTCAATTGGAAGCAGTTTTCTAGGATTAATAATTTCAAATGTATCTGTGTATTTTTGCGGAAATATTGTTGAAAAATCTGCAATTAAACCTTTTGTTTTAAGTCCACATGTTACAATTTTTGTATATGAAAACGGTCCTTCATCGATCTTTGGGAAGGCAACAACAGCTTTGAATAGCTCTGAAACAGGCGTTTGTTATCTTTCTTACTATTTTAATTCAAAATGTCCAAGTTGTAAATATAATTCTGTTGTTTCTTTTAGGTTAACTGTTCAATATCTTTATATTTTCATATTGTTTTAAAAAGTTTGTTTAATTTAGTAATTTATCATATAAAATAAATAAAACTTTTATCATCTGAAATATTACTTCAATTAAATAGCTAATCTGATAATTGCATATCTATTGTAAGTTAAAACTCTCATAGAAGGTAAATTCAGCACAAATTATTGCAATTTTATCATGCATTTGTGGATTTCTCTTTATAAAGTAAGCTGAAATGGCTTCTTTACTATGTAACTTATATATGAGAAGATTCTTGATTTGCAAAATTGAATTTGATTTCATAATAGGAAGATTTGAGAACTTTACATGACTTTTTTGACATTTACAACATTTATAAATTTGCTCTATATATTGATTGAACATGCAAGTTTTGTTCATATTTCAAAAGTGTTTACTGATAATCTGTTCATATTTTCATTATCAATATGACTTTTTGGCAATTCATGTTATACAGATTTTGAATCATTCTTCCGAAACATTTGTGTAATGCATGAAAAATAGCGTGACTTCACTTTTGACAGTTTACAAATGTAAAGTGTTGCATCCTTAAAAACTTGGAAATATATACATTCATGAATTATCTTGTATATTAATTGAAAATCCATAAAACCCTAACAATATTTTTTCTTAAAAAAAACTATAAAAATATAAATAAAATTAATCGTTAAATAAAAATATTTGATATTAGAATTTTATTGGAAAATAAAAAACTTAATATTTTAAAGAAATACTTAAATACTTGAATGTTTTAACTTTTACATTATCATATAGACTCTCAAATTATTGATTGGAAACGTTTTGAGGGTTATCAATTTAAAAAAATTGTGAGTTTTTTAGATTTTTGGCAATGTTAAACGGTTAATTTTTTCTCAAAAAAATTATTTCGAATTTCCGAAATTTTTGACATTTTGGCTGAGAACTATGGTCTGCGAGGTACATAGATAGAATCAGTACCTCGCAGACTATAGTTCTCTATATGGCGCCGAAAATTTTTGGTGAAATGTCGTCGCATTTCACCAAAAATTTTTCGGCGCCATAGGAAGAATTGGAGGGTGTGAGATACTATTACATGCTATAGTACTCACACCCTCCAATTCTTAGCCAAAATGGCTAAAAATTGGGTGCAATGTCAACAATTGCACCCAATTTTTAGCCATTTTGGCTGAGAACTATGGTCTGCGAGGTACATAGATAGAATCAGTACCTCGCAGACTATAGTTCTCTATATGGCGCCGAAAATTTTTGGTGAAATGTCGTCGCATTTCACCAAAAATTTTTCGGCGCCATAGGAAGAATTGGAGGGTGTGAGATACTATTACATGCTATAGTACTCACACCCTCCAATTCTTAGCCAAAATGGCTAAAAATTGGGTGCAATGTCAACAATTGCACCCAATTTTTAGCCATTTTGGCTGAGAACTATGGTCTGCGAGGTACATAGATAGAATCAGTACCTCGCAGACTATAGTTCTCTATATGGCGCCGAAAATTTTTGGTGAAATGTCGTCGCATTTCACCAAAAATTTTTCGGCGCCATAGGAAGAATTGGAGGGTGTGAGATACTATTACATGCTATAGTACTCACACCCTCCAATTCTTAGCCAAAATGGCTAAAAATTGGGTGCAATGTCAACAATTGCACCCAATTTTTAGCCATTTTGGCTGAGAACTATGGTCTGCGAGGTACATAGATAGAATCAGTACCTCGCAGACTATAGTTCTCTATATGGCGCCGAAAATTTTTGGTGAAATGTCGTCGCATTTCACCAAAAATTTTTCGGCGCCATAGGAAGAATTGGAGGGTGTGAGATACTATTACATGCTATAGTACTCACACCCTCCAATTCTTAGCCAAAATGGCTAAAAATTGGGTGCAATGTCAACAATTGCACCCAATTTTTAGCCATTTTGGCTGAGAACTATGGTCTGCGAGGTACATAGATAGAATCAGTACCTCGCAGACTATAGTTCTCTATATGGCGCCGAAAATTTTTGGTGAAATGTCGTCGCATTTCACCAAAAATTTTTCGGCGCCATAGGAAGAATTGGAGGGTGTGAGATACTATTACATGCTATAGTACTCACACCCTCCAATTCTTAGCCAAAATGGCTAAAAATTGGGTGCAATGTCAACAATTGCACCCAATTTTTAGCCATTTTGGCTGAGAACTATGGTCTGCGAGGTACATAGATAGAATCAGTACCTCGCAGACTATAGTTCTCTATATGGCGCCGAAAATTTTTGGTGAAATGTCGTCGCATTTCACCAAAAATTTTTCGGCGCCATAGGAAGAATTGGAGGGTGTGAGATACTATTACATGCTATAGTACTCACACCCTCCAATTCTTAGCCAAAATGGCTAAAAATTGGGTGCAATGTCAACAATTGCACCCAATTTTTAGCCATTTTGGCTGAGAACTATGGTCTGCGAGGTACATAGATAGAATCAGTACCTCGCAGACTATAGTTCTCTATATGGCGCCGAAAATTTTTGGTGAAATGTCGTCGCATTTCACCAAAAATTTTTCGGCGCCATAGGAAGAATTGGAGGGTGTGAGATACTATTACATGCTATAGTACTCACACCCTCCAATTCTTAGCCAAAATGGCTAAAAATTGGGTGCAATGTCAACAATTGCACCCAATTTTTAGCCATTTTGGCTGAGAACTATGGTCTGCGAGGTACATAGATAGAATCAGTACCTCGCAGACTATAGTTCTCTATATGGCGCCGAAAATTTTTGGTGAAATGTCGTCGCATTTCACCAAAAATTTTTCGGCGCCATAGGAAAATTGGAGGGTGTGAGATACTATTACATGCTATAGTACTCACACCCTCCAATTCTTAGCCAAAATGGCTAAAAATTGGGTGCAATGTCAACAATTGCACCCAATTTTTTAGCCATTTTGGCTGAGAACTATGGTCTGCGAGGTACATAGATAGAATCAGTACCTCGCAGACTATAGTTCTCTATATGGCGCCGAAAATTTTTGGTGAAATGTCGTCGCATTTCACCAAAAATTTTTCGGCGCCATAGGAAGAATTGGAGGGTGTGAGATACTATTACATGCTATAGTACTCACACCCTCCAATTCTTAGCCAAAATGGCTAAAAATTGGGTGCAATGTCAACAATTGCACCCAATTTTTAGCCATTTTGGCTGAGAACTATGGTCTGCGAGGTACATAGATAGAATCAGTACCTCGCAGACTATAGTTCTCTATATGGCGCCGAAAATTTTTGGTGAAATGTCGTCGCATTTCACCAAAAATTTTTCGGCGCCATAGGAAGAATTGGAGGGTGTGAGATACTATTACATGCTATAGTACTCACACCCTCCAATTCTTAGCCAAAATGGCTAAAAATTGGGTGCAATGTCAACAATTGCACCCAATTTTTAGCCATTTTGGCTGAGAACTATGGTCTGCGAGGTACATAGATAGAATCAGTACCTCGCAGACTATAGTTCTCTATATGGCGCCGAAAATTTTTGGTGAAATGTCGTCGCATTTCACCAAAAATTTTTCGGCGCCATAGGAAGAATTGGAGGGTGTGAGATACTATTACATGCTATAGTACTCACACCCTCCAATTCTTAGCCAAAATGGCTAAAAATTGGGTGCAATGTCAACAATTGCACCCAATTTTTAGCCATTTTGGCTGAGAACTATGGTCTGCGAGGTACATAGATAGAATCAGTACCTCGCAGACTATAGTTCTCTATATGGCGCCGAAAATTTTTGGTGAAATGTCGTCGCATTTCACCAAAAATTTTTCGGCGCCATAGGAAGAATTGGAGGGTGTGAGATACTATTACATGCTATAGTACTCACACCCTCCAATTCTTAGCCAAAATGGCTAAAAATTGGGTGCAATGTCAACAATTGCACCCAATTTTTAGCCATTTTGGCTGAGAACTATGGTCTGCGAGGTACATAGATAGAATCAGTACCTCGCAGACTATAGTTCTCTATATGGCGCCGAAAATTTTTGGTGAAATGTCGTCGCATTTCACCAAAAATTTTTCGGCGCCATAGGAAGAATTGGAGGGTGTGAGATACTATTACATGCTATAGTACTCACACCCTCCAATTCTTAGCCAAAATGGCTAAAAATTGGGTGCAATGTCAACAATTGCACCCAATTTTTAGCCATTTTGGCTGAGAACTATGGTCTGCGAGGTACATAGATAGAATCAGTACCTCGCAGACTATAGTTCTCTATATGGCGCCGAAAATTTTTGGTGAAATGTCGTCGCATTTCACCAAAAATTTTTCGGCGCCATAGGAAGAATTGGAGGGTGTGAGATACTATTACATGCTATAGTACTCACACCCTCCAATTCTTAGCCAAAATGGCTAAAAATTGGGTGCAATGTCAACAATTGCACCCAATTTTTAGCCATTTTGGCTGAGAACTATGGTCTGCGAGGTACATAGATAGAATCAGTACCTCGCAGACTATAGTTCTCTATATGGCGCCGAAAATTTTTGGTGAAATGTCGTCGCATTTCACCAAAAATTTTTCGGCGCCATAGGAAGAATTGGAGGGTGTGAGATACTATTACATGCTATAGTACTCACACCCTCCAATTCTTAGCCAAAATGGCTAAAAATTGGGTGCAATGTCAACAATTGCACCCAATTTTTAGCCATTTTGGCTGAGAACTATGGTCTGCGAGGTACATAGATAGAATCAGTACCTCGCAGACTATAGTTCTCTATATGGCGCCGAAAATTTTTGGTGAAATGTCGTCGCATTTCACCAAAAAATTTTTCGGCGCCATAGGAAGAATTGGAGGGTGTGAGATACTATTACATGCTATAGTACTCACACCCTCCAATTCTTAGCCAAAATGGCTAAAAATTGGGTGCAATGTCAACAATTGCACCCAATTTTTAGCCATTTTGGCTGAGAACTATGGTCTGCGAGGTACATAGATAGAATCAGTACCTCGCAGACTATAGTTCTCTATATGGCGCCGAAAATTTTTGGTGAAATGTCGTCGCATTTCACCAAAAATTTTTCGGCGCCATAGGAAGAATTGGAGGGTGTGAGATACTATTACATGCTATAGTACTCACACCCTCCAATTCTTAGCCAAAATGGCTAAAAATTGGGTGCAATGTCAACAATTGCACCCAATTTTTAGCCATTTTGGCTGAGAACTATGGTCTGCGAGGTACATAGATAGAATCAGTACCTCGCAGACTATAGTTCTCTATATGGCGCCGAAAATTTTTGGTGAAATGTCGTCGCATTTCACCAAAAATTTTTCGGCGCCATAGGAAGAATTGGAGGGTGTGAGATACTATTACATGCTATAGTACTCACACCCTCCAATTCTTAGCCAAAATGGCTAAAAATTGGGTGCAATGTCAACAATTGCACCCAATTTTTAGCCATTTTGGCTGAGAACTATGGTCTGCGAGGTACATAGATAGAATCAGTACCTCGCAGACTATAGTTCTCTATATGGCGCCGAAAATTTTTGGTGAAATGTCGTCGCATTTCACCAAAATTTTTCGGCGCCATAGGAAGAATTGGAGGGTGTGAGATACTATTACATGCTATAGTACTCACACCCTCCAATTCTTAGCCAAAATGGCTAAAAATTGGGTGCAATGTCAACAATTGCACCCAATTTTTAGCCATTTTGGCTGAGAACTATGGTCTGCGAGGTACATAGATAGAATCAGTACCTCGCAGACTATAGTTCTCTATATGGCGCCGAAAATTTTTGGTGAAATGTCGTCGCATTTCACCAAAAATTTTTCGGCGCCATAGGAAGAATTGGAGGGTGTGAGATACTATTACATGCTATAGTACTCACACCCTCCAATTCTTAGCCAAAATGGCTAAAAATTGGGTGCAATGTCAACAATTGCACCCAATTTTTAGCCATTTTGGCTGAGAACTATGGTCTGCGAGGTACATAGATAGAATCAGTACCTCGCAGACTATAGTTCTCTATATGGCGCCGAAAATTTTTGGTGAAATGTCGTCGCATTTCACCAAAAATTTTTCGGCGCCATAGGAAGAATTGGAGGGTGTGAGATACTATTACATGCTATAGTACTCACACCCTCCAATTCTTAGCCAAAATGGCTAAAAATTGGGTGCAATGTCAACAATTGCACCCAATTTTTAGCCATTTTGGCTGAGAACTATGGTCTGCGAGGTACATAGATAGAATCAGTACCTCGCAGACTATAGTTCTCTATATGGCGCGAAAATTTTTGGTGAAATGTCGTCGCATTTCACCAAAAATTTTTCGAGCGCCATAGGAAGAATTGGAGGGTGTGAGATACTATTACATGCTATAGTACTCACACCCTCCAACTCCAATCAAAAATCGCATAAAATTTGCTACTTATTTCAGATTACCTCCCATTATAAAATATATCATTTGCTATCTCATCGTCCTATACTTCCACCCTATTGTATTTAAAAATATAAAATTTTTTGATAATTATTTTTATATCTTGAATTTTCAAACAATAGATTCACAGATAATAAATGGGAAATCTATCTCAACCTAGCCTTAAAGTACCAAACTCCTGCTTGCATTCTCACTCACAAATATTAAACATCCATCTCCAAAAAACTAAATTCTTCACAATTTTTTTTAAAATTGAGAACATAAAAAACGTATGCATTCAATAATTTAAGATACTAAAAATATTAAAAACTTCAAAATATCAGATAATAACGTTTTTCAATTAAAAAAAATATCATTTTGCTTTTCAATTCGAACATAAATCTTAAATATTTTTAATTAATATCTGATTTACAGCATTATTATCCATTTATAAATCTGACAATAAAGAAAAACCATCAGAAATAGTGTCACTTTCTGTCAAAAGTGAAGTCACACTATTTTTCATGCACAACACTTCCGAAACATTTGAATATTTAAGCGAACGTTAATCAGAAATAGGTCTTCTCATCTATCTGACTCACTTTAAAATTCTTAATTCTTTAGAAGAGAATTCCCATCTATTAATTTGTAATGTATTCAATTTTGAATTCGTGTCAAAAAACCCTATTAATTTCTGACGTTATATAAAAAAATATGTCGAAACTTTTCAAGATTGGAGTTCAAGCTATTAAAGAAAAGACAGGCATGGCAAATGAAGAAGTTGATCCCAAGTATGAAGATGCACGACAAAGATTTGAAATAATTCACGAAAAAGTTACATCATTATTTGAAGATATGCTTTTGTTGATCCGCGGTATCCAGCCTCTTGCAATTACCGGCAAAGAATTTTCAGACGCTGCCACAACGAATGCTATTGCTTGCCAAAATTCTCAATCAAAACCTGCAAAACAGCTCGCAAAGATGTTTGGTGATTTAATGGAGTGCATTAACAGTGATTTCATTAAAGACGAGTCTAAATATATTCAACAGCATATTCATGAAATCAAAGTTAAATTAGAAAGCATTGAAAGCATTAAAGATAAGCGAAGAAAGGCTTACTTACTTTACAGTTCAACAAAAAGTAACTTAGAATCAGTTCATCAAAAAGGAACTGATGTTAAAATTCAAAAAGCTGAAAAAGAATACTTAGACGCAAAGAATGAAATGGAAACATATACTCAGATGTACATAACGCAAGTTGATGAAATTTGGGAGCACCAATACGAAATTATTGAACAACCACTAAATAATTTATTCCGTTTGGCATATGTCTTGCTTATGAACTACATGAACAAATTTTAAAATTATGTTTCCAACTCGAGGTACCTGAATTCTATTTATTATTATTATTTTTAATTTCGGTATTATTTTGTCACATCCTGACAATAAAAAATGTTTTAATACTCGTTTTTATATCCAATTCTAAAAGCCATTACTTTTTACTTCCTACAGACAATTCCCCATGAGTTGTTATTTGATAAAATATCAGGAATTTTCTCGATTTTATAAGATATTTTTTTGATTACATATTGATGAGAAATGTAAACTTTGAATTCATTCATCATTTCTCTATTGAATTCATTCAAGAATTTTCTGAAAAAATGGTGATAAGTAAGATACTTGTGATTATTTTATTATTCACCATTGCGTCAGATCCATTAAAACTACAAAGATTGAACATGATTTAACTAAAATAGTAGTATTTTACTCTATATTAAAAACAAAAGATATAGGAATTAATGTACAAACACTCCAGGAGCGAAATATTGAGGTTGGTTTTGTGATTGATGATAAGGGAAGGCGGTTGGATAATAATTCGCAGGAAATTCATTGTTTTGATCAGGCCTTAATAAAGATCTTGTTGAATCATCGATTTCTTTGGGTTTTCTAAGCCAATTCAAAGCAATAAATGAAAATACAAGGAGTAATATCAAAATTGAAACCAAAATAACGAAAATAACTACAAGAACAAGATCCAATTCGCTTTCATCATAATCTTCATCATTTTCTTTAGCTGAGAAATGGATTATTTGAACTTCAAATAAAGTTGGTTGATGTTTGCTTAGTATATTGGAAAACGGATGTACAATGATCTCAGGATCAAGAGCTTCAAAGGAAAATCCTATTTTGGATTCATAATTTTCGGGTATGTGCGAAATCGTCAAATATAAGTTTTTATTTGGCATTTTCATATTACTGTTATAAGGTTTGCATGCATTTTCGGACGTGCAAACTTGAATTTGTTCAGATAAATTTAAATTTTCTGTTGAATCTATCGAGATTTGAGATCTTCTGTTTGTATACCAAATGCACACTTTGTTGTGTGATAATACTTTGCCGAATTTCGAATGTATTGTAAATTCATCGTAATTGAAATTTGAAATATAACGATAATCGCAATCATTTGGAAAAGAAAATAGTTTGAATGATACTAAGCAAGATAGTAATGGTTCAATATCAAATGAAACTATTGAGTTTGAAAAATCATAACCGGTATGAACAGTTGGGAAATATTGTGTCTCACGAAAACTTATGTTACTGTATCTTTTTTCATAAATCTCCATTTTTACCAGTGATGATGAATCGAAAACTATTGATAAATAAGGAACTGATGAATTTATACAGATATGTTCAGTTTCTTCAAGAGCAAATGTGTATTGTGTTGGTTCATTATTATCAACATTTACTGTATATGTACAAAATGAAGTCCCAAACGCTAAAAATAAAGGAATCATTTCCGATTTTTGGGTTTTTTTGCCAATAAAATAAATTTACATGTCAAAAAAATTAATGTATAAATATAACAATCGTTTAATAATTGAAATAAATAAAAATTGTACTTACTCTTCCTCTTCGACATGAGCATCTTCGTCTGATGGATCATCTGGCTCGCCGGTGCTCTCTTCTTCTTCCTCGATTGCTTTGGCAAGTCTGATGCTTTCCTGCTCGTTGAAGATAGCTGTATTCTTTTCAGTTTTGAGGAGGAAGCGGCTGGTGTTTTTAGCAGTGAAATCATCTTCTGGGTACAATGGGTAGTGGATATGCCATGAGTTTTCGCCAATGCTTCTGATTTCTGCAGCATAAAGATCAAAACCATTTGGATCAATAACATAGATCTGCTCGCCTGCAACAAATGTATGGTTTGTTGGCTTCTCGAACTCTGGGATCTCGTCACTCATTTCTTGTGAAAATGACACTTTTATACTTCATCCCGCCATAAGTTCTCAAATTTTTGAGTGTCATAAATTGTAAAAACATAACGATAAAAATTTTCAAGATTCAGTTAAAAATATTATTCCATTACTAAAATGGAAGTTTGTTGAATTCGTTTGGAAAAGTGACACCATTACAATACATCATAGCTGAGTTATTGGACGTAGCAATCGATTGGGAACTGTTGTATCATATATTTGTTATAATTTCAATGGTTTTGTTGTATCTAAACTATCGCATAGCTGTACATTCAATAAATCTTTTCCTCATTCATTAGTAAAGTTCCCCACTTCATTAAAACTATAGTTAACAATATCAAAAATATTCTTTGCCTTGTTGTCTTTGTCATGAGAAAGAATTTTTTCAATGATTTCTGAAATATGGCATGCAGAATTGCTGAAATTAATGAATAACTCGCGTATGTGAACTCTTAAAGCAATCATTAATCATATAGCAAATATATAAAATACTAAAAAATAAATTATGAAATATCCGATTTGATTAACTATTTATTGAATTATGAATTCTTCAAAACGATTTAAGGGGATACTAAAGCTAATCTGACTTTAATTCATATGTTCTTAAGAATCGTGGAAATTATTCTTTTGTAATTGCACTAAAATGCTAAATCAAATAGATTATGAAATGTCCGAATTCAGTTACTTTTTATTAACAAAAAAAAATAAAAAAACAAAAGTATATAAAAATACAAAAAATAATTAACATTTCGTTATATGCTGTAATACTTCAGATGCTTTTTGTTGCAACTGTTCAGTATCTCCTTCACTTATTGCGAATTCCAGTAACTTCACAACTACACTTGAATTCAAAATTACGTGTAGAGGTCTTCCAATTGTTACTGCTATTTCAGCGATCAAATCAACAGCTGCAGACAAAACTTCGTTATCTCGTTTCGTCCATCTAGAAACTATCTCAAAAATTGTGAAGAATGACTTCACTTTTTTAATACCATTTCTATCTGTTGAGAGAATTGGAAGTAATTGTTTGTAAGTACTTAAAACAGAGATGTGGAGTTTGCACAACAACATCATATCTCCACTTTCTTCATCATGTTGTTCTTTGACACTTTTTAGTTCATTTGCAATTGTTTGTAACAATTCATCCAGCCAATTAAAAGCGAGTTCACCAACTAAACCTGAAATATTTCCAATAACAGTAATAATGGAGTATTTCGTTGTTGGTGTTGCATCTTCTGCTTTTAATCTTTGTATCAACAAGCCAATGAACTCTGTGATTACTTCAGGGGGTAAAGTAACACCAGCGATGTATAAATCACCAAGTAATAAAGCGGCTGGTCGGATGGATTTTGGGTTCACCTGACCACTTAGCAATGGATATAAAATAGGCAACAATTGGTCTAAATATTTCATGAAAGAAGGACCAATTGAACAAGCTATTGCACCCATCGCTGGTAGTGATTCTCGAACTAAATCAATGTCGTTGGCTTGAACGATTTGCAACAACATTTCCATCATTTTGTCTTCTATTGTTGAAACAAGTTCTTTGTGAACAAATAAAATGTTTTCAACGACAGAACAGATCCATATCATCTTGCTGACAGTGTGGACTGGTGTATCTTTGAGATGAACACTAGGCATGTTGATTTGGAGCTGAGAAACAACTCTGTCGAGCACAATCATGCACTCATCAGGGGATGGAGTGGGTGTGCATGCAATTAACTGGGTAAGAGCAGCAAATGCATGATCGGAAACTGCATAGGCATGGTCTGAGGATTCTGTGGATTGTGTATCTGCTACATCGCATAAAAATTGTGATAATACTCCGAAATTATCGGTCAAAACTGAAACATCCGCGGTATCCGCAATGGACATGATGCACTGCTTAAGAAGCCAGCATGCTCTGCCCGATAATTTCGAGTATGCCGATACAATTTCGGATAATTTCTGAACAACTAAGGTAAACCGCTCCGAATTCATAGCGAGTTCTGAAAATTTCTGAATGCAGCGGCCGAGACACCACATTGCGGCTTCTTTTACGATGGGAATTGGATCATCCAGCATCGTAATGTAGATTCCGAGGGTGCTGAGTATGTTCTGAGGTATGGACTTGAAGCAAGGAATGCGTAAAGCCACGGAAATCATGAGAACTGAGGCAAATCTGATATTCCATTCGGGAGAATTGATGTTTGAGTCGACAAACTCAACAATTGTATCTCTCTGGGCTTCGCCAACTGTGCAGGCAAGGTCTGCGAGTGATAAAAACGCAGAAATTTCGGTTGAAAATTCAAGAGATGCGTTTTCATCAATGGAAAGAGTTAAATGGACAAGAGCTGTAAGTAAATTATCGAATACGCATATTGAAAATCCAAGGAAATGATCGAAATCTCGATGTCTCAATTTTATTCGACTTTTATCATCGATTAAGACATCGAATTCGACTTCTCCGATAAGCTGGAGTACTAAACAGGCCTGATCAATGCGTTCTTCGTTCCCTGAGTCGAGATTTAGTCCGATAAGTTCAATTATGTCATTTTTGTAGTCTTCGAGAAGCGGATAGAAGTAATCTATTGCTTTCATGAGTATGCTGAAGCCCTCTCTGTAAAGTTTTGGATTTTCTAATCGAATAAAATCGAAAATTGTTGAAATCATTGAGTTAAAAACGTCAGGGAATGACATAACTCTGTAGAAGAATGATAAGTTCTGTGAAAATATCGATGCAGCTAAATATTGTAAATTTTCATCCGATGGATCGTTCATTTGAGCCAAAATTCGCTGGAAAAGTATCGGAGAAAACTGGTGGAAGATCTGATCTTTGCCACAGTTTGGCGAATAGTCTGTGCAACAACGAGTAAAGCATAAAAATACTTGAAAAGCTGCAGCACGTTCATGCGGTGGATATGATAGGTCTGTCTGTTCTAGTAGTTGATGTATTTGCTCGTCAAATGTTTCGAGAGGATATTCAATTGCGAAAAATGCGCCAAGTAAGTTTGCGCTTTGAATTAGAAGCTCTTCATTGCCATTGTTAATGCATGACATAGTACCGAGAAAAAATTCGTTGCGGATGTTGATATCTATTTGACTCCAATACGTATTAAATTCTCTTTGTTGATCTGAAGTGCGTTTTCGAAAAAATGCATATAGTAAAACAGCTGCATATGGCTTTGAGGCACCAGTTATATTGGAATCGGAGATAATCTTCATTAAAAGGAACATATATAATTCAGGATTTGATTCTCTTAATTCGAGAATCCATTTTTCAGCAGGATTACGAATTTCTGAGTTGAATTCCCTCAGATTCTCTAATACCGTTGTAGCTTCGGTTATTAATTCTGAGGAAAGTTCCATATTTTTTTTCACAAAAAAAATTGTTTAAAAATTTGACATTTTTTCCGTAATTTAACTAATTTTAAGTTATTTTTATTAACAACATAGAGGAACTGATATTTATTAGATTAATTATATTTTTATATGTCAAAAATTTAATGTCAGATGAAGTTTTCTCACCAAAATTTGAGGATTTGATGCAATTGAGCTCAATTGGATTGAATAATTCTCTTTCTTTTTGGAGTGATATACATAATCCGTCGAATTTAGAATATTTAATCGCAAAAGCAAATTCATTTGTCAACCAGAAACGATTTGTTGATGCAATTCAACTGATAGAATCCGTTAAACCAGAAAATATTACAAATGAGCAAGCAAAAATTACATTTTATGAAGTTTTACTCGAATCATATTACGAATTAAACAAATTTGATATGATATCAGGGATTTTAAATAGCCAACAATTTAATGAAATCGAAAAAAGTCTTAAACTTAACATATTGGCTGGAAAATGCTACTTAAGAATTGATCAAACACAAGGAATGGGAAATGGTGCATTCCCGTTTTTCTTTACAGCGTATTCGCAATTTCCTTATTCCATAGATATAATTGATTACTTAATTGCTCTTGGATTCACAGATTTTCAGGAATATCCAGGAAATGATTTATTTAATCAATACGTTGAAGCGAGAAAAAATATATATTTCTGCAAATACAAAGCAGCAAAAGATATTTTATTCGAATTAGACAAGAAATTCCCAAAATGTCGGCCAATTTTGGTCCAACTTTGCATTTGTTGCCATATGATGAAAGATGATAGAGGACTTGAGCTATTTGTATCACAATTACCATGGAATGAGCTCGAAATCATCGATCTTCGAGCAGATTTTTTAAAATCTCAAGGCAAAGAAGAGGAATTAAGCAATTTAGTAGTCGACGCTTTAAACTACAATCCACAATCTGCTAATGCATGGCTCGCTTTTAGCCATCTGCAAGAGATGAAACGAGATTCAAACCGTGCTCTTCATATTACGAGCCACGCCATTAATTTGGATCCGAAATCGTATCGTGCATATTTTAGGCAGGGAGAGCTAAGGTTTTCTAAAGGGGATATCAACAGTGTGAAAAAAGCGAAAGAATCTTTCCTTAAAGCTCATCAGATACACGCCGAAATATACACATATGATGCTCTTGTCCACTGTGAGATGTTTATTGGTAACACAGAAGCAGCAACTGTCCTTTCATTAGAAGCTTGCCAAAAATTCTCTGATAAAAATACTCCTGAAGGATCAATGGCACTTACAATATTAGCTATAGCCCAAGGAAGAGTCAAACCAAACGAATCCCTTGAACTTTTACGAACAGCTTTGAAATGCGACGGAGAAAACATGGAAGCTCTTGGTAGACTTGTTGATTGCCATTGTGAATCACAACAGTTTGAAATGGCAATACAGTTGCTCCAAGAATTCTCTGATTGTAAGAGCATTTTCTTCATTTATTACAAATTTGCCGAAGTTTACACTTATATGAAGCAATATGAGAAGGCACTGGAATATATAGACAAAGCATTATCACTTAGACCTAATAATGATCGAGCAACAGAACTAAAATCTCATATTATTCAAATGATAGAGCTAAATGAAGAAGATGACGTCGGTGGAGCAAGATTTATATTGTAATAATAAATTGTATGTTTAAATCAATAATATTTTTTTATAAAAACTGAAATTTTTTATTAATTTTCTCGGAAATCTCATATTATTCAAATGATAGAGCCAAATGAAGAAGATGACGTCGGTGGAGCAAGATTTATATTGTAATAATAAATTGTATGTTTAAATCAATAATATTTTTTTATAAAAACTGAAATTTTTTATTAAGGGTGCCCTATAACGATAATGTAAACATCACAAAATTAACCTTATTAGAACTCGAATGAATGGATTATCCAGATTCTAGTTCTCAATATAATAGCCTTAAAAGTGCTTTTCTGAGGGTGGTTTATCGTCTATAGGGCACCCTTAATTTTTACAATTTTCTGAGTTTAAAAAATTTCTGACAATTGTGAGCAGTATCATTGTTGAGCTTATACTTAGAAAAACGGAAATGCAGAATTAAAATCTTCAATAATTAGGTGTAAAGTCTTCTGATGAATAAAAACTAAAATGATCATCATTAAATTCGTTATATGCAAAAATATACTTATGCCTTTTTCTGTTGCCAACATTTGTAATGCTTGAGACTTGCAAAATGTATTTCTTTACATTTGTGCTAATAGAGTAATCATAAGGTGTATCATTAATTATTTTTTGCATTAATATCCAGATTATAAGTCGAATTGAGATATTTGATAACTTCAACATTACTATTCAGAGCTGCATAATGAAGAATTGAGTTATTATCATTATCATTTGCATTAATATCAATGTTTGGAAAAGATAAAAGGTATTTAATATTGTTTAAATCTCTTCTTTTAGCTGCATAATGAAGAGCTGTCATTCCAGAGTTTGCTTTTTCATTAAAATTAATATTTGGATGAGAACAAATAAAATGTAAAATGTTTGTATCATTTATAATTACTGCATAATGAAGAGCTGTTTTTCCTGCGTTATTTTTTGCATTAATATTTAAATTTTTAACTGAACAAATGTATTTAATGCGATTGAGGTTTCTATTTCTGATTGAATGATGTAGAATTGTTTCCCCTAATTTATCTTTCGCATTAACATCAATATTTGGAAGTGAACAGAGATATTGGAGACAATTGTTGTCATGATTTTGAATCGCATAATGCAGAGCTGTATTTTGCAAGGAATCTTTTGCATCGAGATCAATGTTTGTTGTAGAGCAAAGATATTTTAGTAATTTGAGATTACTTTCACAAGTTGCATGATGGAGACATGTCTTTCCATTTTTATCTTTCACATTAATGTATCCATGCTCTGATGCAAGATTAAATGCATTTTGATCATTGTCTTCTAATGCAAGCCTTAGAAAAGCGTATATTTTCTCAAAGTCAGCTGAATTTTTATTGAATTTCAATATTCTCGTTTGATAGTTTTTTATTTGAGTTTTGTCACATGTATTTTCTCTTTTGAAACAATTGCAAATATCTTGAATTATTTTGATTTTAAATATTCTTGAAATGTTTTCCAAAACATCAATTGCAAGTTTAAAGTTTTCAAATGCACCTATCTGAGAATGCTGCAAAATGAATAATGTTTCTGAACTGGTATATTTATTACTTATGATTTGGAATAATGTATTAAATTGATTTGGTGATAAAACGCAAAGATCCAAGATCTTAGTGAGTTCTGATACTGTTCTCATTCCAACAAAATCTTCATCATTGTACCAATTGCAAATAGTTTTGGCATAAGATTCATAATCAATTGAGGTTATACACAAACTTTTCTGGCTTTTTTAAAATTAGATGGTAAAAATAAATAATTTGTTTTCTAATTTTTTAATATCTTCTTTAATATAGCCCCGGAATCATATTTATCAAAAGAACAAAATTACGCCAAAAAAAATCTTAAAAAAATTCAGTAGGAATATAGGAGACTTTGAAAAAAAATGTTGATGGAGCTTTATTGTCAATAGAGATTATTGTTTGCAATGTCTACATCTGCTGCTAATGTCAGGTATCCTAAAATTGTTGATGTCCACAAAGAAAGTCTTCTTCAACGTGGATATAAAAGTTTTGCACAGTGGAAAAGCGATGAAGATCATTTATATATTGGAAGAGATATGAGTCAATATGTTCCTGGAGCAGTTGGTTCTCGCCTGCAGAATCCATATAAAGTCAAAGAATATGGACTTGAAAGATGTCTTGAATTATATTACGAAAAATTCAAGAACGAAGATCTTTCATTTCTTCTTGAATTCAAAGAACTCGGTTGTTGGTGCCACAACAGAAACGACGTTCCAAATCCCTTAAAGACTGTCAATGTCATGGGGATGTCTTGTTATTCATTCTTTACTCAAAATTGAATAACGAAAACCCATCAAAATAAATAATTCAAATATGAAAAATTAAATTATCACTTTTTTTATATTTTTACTTTGTTGTTTGTGTTTAAATTACTTTATAATTTTATTTATTCTTTCTGAACAAATGATTAAACTATTTAGAATAAAGCTTTCGTGTGAATTTACCACTTTCTATTTTGAAATTTTGAAAAATCTAGTATAATAATGTAAGCTTTGGGTTTTAATCGTTTCTTTTTATATTGTTTGCAAATAGGAATCATGTATTTTTTGCTCAATTAATGATTTTTAAAAGTTATGAAAAATAATCAAGAAATTTATAGAAAAACAACATGTTTATTAGAATTATAAAAAAAGATGATTCTTTCCGGTAAAATCGAAGTAATAATTTTTGAAAATTTTATTGTAGGGTTTGTATTCCGATATCTGCAGTTTTAATGAAAGCACACTCTGGAACATCACGTGGAAGTTTCTGTTTTATTGAAATTAAAATAGGAATCGAGTTATTGTTGAAAATTTCGTTTTCTTTCGCAAAGTTGAAGATATTTTCAAACATTGAAATGAAAAGAAGCATCAAATCTTCATTTGAAACTCCAATATCAAATATCTTAAGGAAATTCAAGTAAAATTCGTTATTTGGGTTTTCATTGAAGTAATTTAGCAGAGCTGAAAATAATTCTGAAGGTATTTGTGTTTCTCTATCCGAAAAATTGAAATATCTTGGAAAATATTTGATCATCGAATTTAAAAAATTTTGATCTTCAATTCCTATTTCGTAACATAAAATTAAGAACTGGTTATTTGGTAATTTCGCATCGGCTAAATTCTTTTGGATGAAAACTTTTGGTAAAACCTCAGAAATAAAAATATCAATTGGAAATCTGAATTCATCTGTTAAACTAGATGGGAAAAGCTCGAAAAAGAAATCGTGTGGAAGCCAAGCTAAGTCATTTGTATATATAATCAAGTTAAAAACTAAATGAAACAATGCCAATTTTAATTGTGGATATTTTGTGACTGAATCTTTGAATCTGCTATAAATCCAATCAAATAATTGATTTTTGATTAAGAAATCAGCATTTTTGTTTCGATCAATGTAATTTTCTGCTAAAGTCTGAATAAGTTGTATTTGTAAATCGTATGAATTCGTTTTTATTGAATATCTGATAAGATTATTGATTATCATTTCATCGAAATCAAGGTTTTTATCATCTCTTTGTTTTGCTAAAGAAACGAGCAGAAATCCTTTAAAAGATAGCTCATTTGACCTTGGGCTGCACGTTTCCCCGTTCTCAATGAACCACTGATCAATAGAAGTTAAAATACTTGAAAAATCATCGGAACTCATATAAAAAAATGACAAAAAAATTAAGACAACATTTAAATACTAAAATAATACTGTTTACTAAAGATGTCAATTGTAGTGCAAATAAGTCCAGAGAAATTTAGTTTTCAAAGATCCGAATTATCTTCAGATTTTATCAAGTAATTAATCCCACAGGGCATGCAAGTTGGAATGCAATATATCCTCAGTAAATCGATATCTCTATGTTTACTACTGTTTTGTTTAAAGGCAAACGAAGTCTTCTTTTTTTCCGATATATAATTTTAAAGTATCTGTTTCCTTAAAACTGGAGCCTGCTGTAACCTCAAATTTGAAAATTTGATGCTATTGTATTTTTATTTTTTATTGATAAAATAAAAATTTCAAAAGTATTCTTATCGAATGTAATTACAACCATATTGTGCAGGCAAACAGAAGAATAAAACTATGACATAGCATTTCAAAAACTTTTGACTAATCTTCAAATTGTAAAAAAAAATTAGTCAAAAATTTTTCATTATGAGTTCTGACTATTCTCAACAATATGAGGACTTTATAGCGGCGCTAGAAAGGCTCTTCCACATAAAATCTAATGAGCCCATCGAAGATATGTGTAATACAATTACAAATACTTTGATTTCGAAATATCATCTTTCCATCAAGCATATTACAAAGTTAATTCGTGAAGCAATTAGATATAATTATGCATCTGGTGCAAATTACTTCAAAATACTCAAACATATCGGCGCCGATTTCTCATTTTGGGATTTCGAATTTGAAAAGGAAGATTCGATCGAATATATAGTTATGCATGATCAAATTGATAAGTTCAAGGAATACACAGTTCAGCATTCAATATCTGATGATGAAGATTTTCTCAAAGTTCCTAATTTCGATATTGATGCTTTCGTACAAGGTATTAATGTAAAGTTAACACTAATCGAAGCTTGTGCTTACTTTGGATCAGTTAACATATTTTATTTCTTAATTTCAAATGATATTAGTAAAATAACTGAAAACTGTCTTAACTACGCAGTAATTGGAGGAAATCAAGACATCATCAACAAATGCTTGAAAGAAAATAAAATGGACATTAATTGTCTCAGGAGTATTATAAGAACACAATCATAAATTGTTTGAATACGTTTTAGATAGAAGTTTATACAGGGTTCCTGTTTTATACGGAAAAGATTGGAAATCGGCAAAAGAAAAGAATTTGATGCATGATGAAAAATATAGATCCATTTATGAAGATATCATCACATATCAAAACCTTAATGCTGTTTTTATTCTATTCAAAAGGAACAAAAAAATTATCTTTCCATGGGCTGCTGCATTTCCCCAAACTATAGATATTTTCAAAAACAATACATTTTCTAACAAAGATAATCGCACTAATTGTGGAATTATTCTTTTCGCAAGTAAAGCGCAAAATTCTGATATTTGTAGATTATTACTTGAGTCATACAATCAAATTATAGTCGACAATAATGAAAAAGATATTAACATCAATGAAAAAGATAAATATGGAAATACAGCACTTTATTATGCAACAAAGAATAATAATAAAGAAACAATCGAGTTCCTTCTTTCTCATGGTGCAGATATCAATGAAAAATATAAATTAGGGCAAACAGTACTTTATTATGCAACAATTCATGGTAATAAAGAAATATTTGAATTTCTTATTTCACATGATGCAAATATTAAGGATTCTCTCCAAGTGAAGTGATCCTCTCAACTTTTAGCATCTTTGATACTTCTCAGATACCTAAAAAGTTATTTTTTACACTTGAAAATGTAATAAACATTATATATGATGCATATCAAAAGTATTTGTCATTCTATTTTTGAGCAACATGTGGCTGAACTTCTGGTGGACTCCAAGCCAATATGAAGTGACTTTTTTCGCAAAATAATAAAAGAAATAAAATGCTCATAAAAGCTATTTGCATGAATGAAGAAATCAGATATACAAATGTGAGTATTTTGATGTTTTTTGAGTATATGATGTTATTAATTTGTGCAAATTTGCAGGAAAAGTTGTGCAAATTTGGTCAACTTTACAACAAGAAAACACTACACGCCTGTAGATCTCAATATAGTTTTCGTTCTTTATCATTTGGGAAATGCCTTGCTTAAGTTTTGAACATTTGTATTGTAATAAGTTTTATTTGTTCGAGCAGATTATTGCATGCATTATTTCAAGAAAAGTAAAATATTTTTGAGAAGAAGAATTGAAATTTAATTTATGACATGTTCGCAATTTAAGGGTGCACCCGTATGTACGTTTATTTGAGAGGAGGAGGATTACCCTCTCAATTTTGAGGGATTCGTTAGTTTATTTTCTCGATGAATATGCAATAAAATTTGATTTTTACCTTATCAATATACTTCATATAATATACACATGTTCATGTAAAAACTTTTTTCCAAAATCCTCAGGAATTAAGGGATTTTTGAATTTTAAGAATTTTTTTCGAATTTTTTCGAAAAAAAAATATTTTCAGAACAGCCTTAACGGCTAAGATTTAGGAACAATGTTAAGTATCAAAAAGAAAGGAGGTCTGATATAGACAACATATATCGTTGAAGGTTATGGCAGTCCCAACGGGAACCGCGGTAATTTACCGAGGTTTCCGCACACCGGTTCCTTTTTTTAGGAATTTTTTAGATTAAAAAATATGCTTTGTAAATCATTTTTTGTAAATCGGCAAAATTTTGGAAATATTCTGACGACAATAAATCTGGGAATAGTATTTTAAATACGAGAACAACCTATTTAAAAGTGTTTCGCTCGATTTTGTATAATTTCAAATTTTCGCATATAGCTTTCCGTGAATTACCGTGATTTTACCGCCACATCAATAGTTTACGACACTTTTTCCGTAAATTGAGTAGTTTACTGCACTTTTCCCGTAAAATTGAGTTACGGGAATCCGTAAGATTACCGTACCTCACTTCTAGTTGAAAATAGCATTAGTATATAATAAATAGATATATTATTCATATTTTTGATTTTGAATTACGGAAAAAGTGAGTTCAGAACTTCCAATTATTATTTGATTAATTATGTTAAAAATACTATAAGGAATTAAAATACATAATGTTGAATTTTGAATTACTGAAAAAGTGAGGGTGAAAGTGAAGTGAAAAAGTAAGATATTTTTTGTTGAAATAATCATAGTTGTACAATTTTGAAACTATATGTAAAGCTATAAATTGAATAAATTCAAAAACAAAAATTGTTTATTCTTATTAATAAATTTATATTAATCAATATTTGAACAACCTGTAATTAAAATTGAATTCCTCTTAAAATTTAATCCATACGTTAATTTTTAATTTGCTCGGCGAATGCCGAGCTTCCCTACTTCTCTTGTCATTCCTTCAAAAACTCTAATCTCATCGCACTTACAAACATCATGTTTTGATGTATTGTCGAGAAATCTTAGACTTGTTTGTCATTTGATTATAGCATTTGAAAGTCATCTCGAAAATCGATTAACAAGACAATTTCCCAAACATCTACATACAAGTAGATGATGGTAAACCCATTAGAGTTGTTTTGCTATGATTCCTCCAATCTTATGATGAGAAAAATCATATCAAAACAGCTCTAATCGAACATTCTACACAGCTTAACATCCAGCTAGTTCCAAGTAATGCGATTACAACATCAACGGCCAAAGCCTTTCAGAGTCCTTTAATCATTTCTTCTCATCTCAATGTGAAGTGGCCCCAAACGAACTACAAGCTGACGTTACAACGCATTACAACCCGGTTAATACGAGCATATACATTAGAGCTGCTTTGTTATGATCTCCCTCATCAATTGATGAGAGATCTCATTATGAAGCAGCTCCAATCCAACTAAAAACCTACATACAAATGAGTGAAAACAAATTCATTAGAGTTGTGTTGCTTTGATTTCTCTCATCAGAAGATGAGAGATACCAGAACAAAACAACTCTAATCAAACTTTCTACACAACTCAGCACAGTATCAATGCAAAGTAATGCGTCTGTATCGTTAACAAGCAAAGTTGTTTCGGGTCCTTCCATTTTGGAAGAATTCGGAACAACTTTGCGAATTGATAGTGTAAACCCATATACATGAAAGCGTGCATGCATAAAGACAGGTATTGTCAGCAATGACTACCTGTCCAGCTATGAGTGATCAGAGAATTACCATCTCAGGCTTTTTGAGAACGTTTCAGCCAGGACCCTCGTATGTTGACTGTGAGAAAGGCATCCTTTATCTGAAATAGATGCTTTTCCAACAATCAAATTCGAAGATCTTCGACGTTGTTGTAAAAAGAGAAGGAGAAGGAAAGAAGAGGAAGGAGAGGAAGAAGGAAAGGAAAAGAAGAAGAAGAAAAAAGAAAAAAAGAAGGACATATTAAATATAATGCGCACTTAATAGTGCCGAGGCGGCGGAGCCGCCGAGGCGCGATTTTTTTGACCCTATATTACCGCACGGCAATGTTTTTCTCGATTTTGTACAGCCCTAATTCTATCTATACTATAAATGGTGAGGACACACTTACTTCTAGTTTCTGTCATATTTGGCAAATGACATCGATGTCATTTGACAAATATGACAGAAAAATTAGTTTGTATAATCCTTTTTTAACTAATTATGAACTATTTTGTTAAAAATTTAATAAACAAAAAATTCAATGGAATCTGAAAAAAGTAAAATTATTATGTTATTTGTGCTTTCAAGCTTAAGTCTTTCCTATCCTAGTCATTCTAGGACAAGAAGAAGAATTATCCAGCCTGTTTGGAGTTTAGAAGAAAAGATACTTACCCGACCACTTGTAGGATTGGATACACCAAGAAAACCAATCTCAACTACGAATACTCCATTACCTTGGGGTCATCAAATAAAATTTAAAGAATTGCTTTCGAAACTCGATAGAGAAAGAAAACCATATCCTTTTGAAGAGAATTACCAATGGAAACCATTTCCAATTGATCCCATAGCATCAACAGGGCGATGGCGTATTGGTTGGAGTGAAGAAGAAAAGAACTGTCCATCAGGTGAACTTTACCCCGGTTGGTGCAAAATTCATGATTGCGGAAGACTACCTCCTGTCCCAGAACTACGAATGTTAATTCTCTCTTACCCGGAAGCCCAAGCTATGGGTTCAAATTCCAACCGAGGGCTCATTGGTGGGATGGTCCATGCCTTTAGTTGGTAATTAAAAAAAATTTTCCTCCTTTGGAGAAAATCGTATTGGATTCTAAATTTTTGAATATATTTCAGCAAAAAACTCTTGGATGAATTATCTTCTTGGATGAATAACACATTATTCTTGAATGAATAACAATAACATACTATTCTTGAATGAATAACAAAAAATATAATTCTTGAGTTTCTTCGGAATTTCGGTAGAAAAGATATATTGTATAGATATATGGATGAATGTAATCTCAAAGTGTGATTATTTGTCTGAAAAAATAAAAAAATCGTCTGACATAACGTTACTGGGAAATAAGAGGACAAACGATACGAAAAAAAGAACTCAATTTTTAAGAACTTCAAATTTTGAGCCTTTTTAAATATCGTTGTGAAGCCATCTTGTTATATACGAAAATGATAAAAACAGTTTGACAGAAAAGTGACAACTTTACGTGTCAAAAATAGAAAAAGTGATATTATATTCGTAATATTAAAATGAATCATCATAATCTTCTTCATAAGGGTCTTCATAATCTTCTTGATATTCTTCTTCATAATTTACTTCGTATTCTTCTTCTTCATTACTATCTTCTTCTATTTCAACCAGATTCGCCTTATTTTCTTCTTCTTCAACTTCCTCGCCTTCTTTTTCCCATTCATCTTCTTCGATTCCTTGGAGCTCTGGCATCTCATTGGCCATAAGTGAACCTGGAAGAAAATCTTGAGAGACTCCATCCACAATCCATTTTGCCGGTATTCCCCTCTTCCAAATTGGAAGTTTCTTCCACATTTCAGATGGGCTATAGTGAATTTGTTTTCCATTCACATAATGAGTTGGTAATGCTAGATGAGGTTTAGCATTATAGTACTCAACCCATTGTTGAATCTTTGCCCATGACAACTCTATGCTCTCTATGTTAGGCCACAAGCGCTCGATTTTCCCATTTTGGTATGGGCAATGGGGGACAATATATACATTATTGATCCCCCGAACCCTCATAACCTTTAGGAACTCGCCTTTATTCTCGCCGCCATTATCGGACCAAATTGTATGTGGTGGTCCATAACGGGCTATTGCTCTCTTAATTACTTTCACTGTTTGGCTAGCATGTTTTGACGAAAGATGCTGCCATTCTATGATGAGCCTTGTGCAGTCATCAATCACAGCATAAAGAATCTGACTTCTCTTTTTGCCAAGAGAGTGGATATCAACGTGCCATATTTGGTTAGGAAAGGCAGCTGAGTATCTTGTCTTTCCTTTTGGCCGATAGGGTCCCCTTGGACGTGCCAAGCCTAGCTCTCTAAAAGCTCTTTCTACCATATGTCTTGAGGGGGATGTGGAAGAGGGTTTGTAAGATATTTAATGTTCCTCAGCTCAGATGGAAATGATAATGGAGACTCTTCAATCATAAGTCCGGAAGGAATTGTGGAAGAAATTTGATTCAGGGGCTTAAAACGCTCAATAGCGGAGAACCATGCTTGGGTAGGCGTTGGCTGTGGAACAATACCCGTCTTCATGTCCAAAAATGCTTCAAAATGAGATTTGGCATATTCGATATCTTTATTTATTTGGTTATAGGCGGAGATTATTCCAAGATGGCCATGCTGCTCAATTAGGTTTCTAAAGTTAGTATGGGTTAGTTGGGTACGGAGGCACTGCGCGCCTCCTTACCCATTATATGTGAATTTGACACTTTACGAAACCGTTAACGTATATTTTACAACATGAACGCAAAAACTAACTTAACCTTAAATATTTACAAAACCACCAACCATTTCACCTCACTAACGAACTCACTAATGAAAAAATAAACGTTCTCATAAATTTTCTTCAATATCTTCATCGTCAATGTTAACTCTATTGTAGTCATACTTGAAGTCATAAAGTTTCTCAAGTTTTGAAATGCATAGTCTTGTTAACTTACCTTCATCATCATAAGTTTTTATAAAACTACCATGACAATCTTTATAAACAGTCAATGTATAATCTACTGGTCTAGGATGAAGTGTAAAGAACATGTTATACTCAGGAAGGAAGAATAAATGTTTAAATGTATGTTTGTTATATTTTTCGATTTGTATGAGTTGCTTTTGTTCTGTCATTTATATAAAAATAAAATAAAAATAATTTTAAAAAATAAACTTAAAAATTAATGATATCACCACTCCCACACGTATGAAAACATAGCGCAAAAATAAATTTAGGGTAGAAGGTTAGATCTAACCCGATAACTAACCCGATTTCTACCCTGTTGAATTCATTGCTTTATAACTCTCTTCCTTTCTCCAACTCTTCTAACTTCTTCTTAAGTTCAGCAATGTTGTCCTCATGAAGTTTAATCTTTCTCAAAATTCCTTCTTTATCTAATGGTTGCTTTATCTTTCTAAACTGAACTCTACCATCCTTCATAGTATGAATGTAAAAACCTTCTGGAATAGTTCCTGATTTAATGTATTCTACCAAAAACTTTTGTTTCGTTGCTTCAGTGACTTTAGTCGTCATTTCAATCAAATAAAAATTTTAATATTAAATAAAAATAACGTTATTTTTTCAGTAAGGAAACGCAGGAGTTTTACGATTTATTTGAGGAGTAGGTTCTGGTTTAAATGTTGGAGTCGGTTTAGGAGTTGACTTTTGAACAGGAGTTTGTACTTTCATAGGTTCAGGAGTCATTGAAGGTGTTGTTTGTGAAGGTGTTGGTTTTGACGTTGGTTTTGGCGAAGGTGTCAGAGTTTGTTTAACTTCAGCTACTTCAGTATTATTTACAACATTTGCTTTATTTCTTTTCAACATCATAACTGCTCCTGCTGTAGCTAGCAAACCTAGTGGGAGACCATATCTTATATAAGGACCTGACCAAATGCTATTTTTGACAGGAGCTGGTGGAACACCTAACCTTGGTGAGACTGCTCTTTGCCATTGTGCAGCTCGTAAGAAATATTCAATAGGTGCTCCATAATCGTTTGGTAAAGTTTGTTTCATAGATGGTGAAGGTTCACGAGAGCTTGATGAAGAACTCATTTATAAGCTTTAAAAATAAACGTTCATCCTTTATTCCTCACCGTCGTCCGTAGCTAAGTTATAGTCATCTAATCTTATTATTGGGATTCCATTAGCACGCACCTGAATGGCAAAGCAACAATCCCTCATAAATCCAATAAGTGGCTTTGGTACATTTTCAGTTGCTAGTTCAATAGGTCCTTTAACAGACAATTTGTATGTTATTGGAGCAGTAAATGTTTGACCTTGCTGGAAGCAAAAGTCCACTTCTGTTGGAAAACCACATAAGAAATGTGTGTTGTCATAGCTATCCCATTTATGTTCCACACTACCATCATCCACCAATGACCTCATAACATCTTCATTAAATCCAATCATATCATTGTTTGTATTGCAAGCGTTTCGCAACCATTCATAAAAATACAGGTCCATATGATTTTTCAGGTTCTGCAGGCATATTTCCATAAGCTCCCATGGAAAGCTGAAGATATTTAAACTTAGGGTTCTCAAAATTAACATAATAGTTGTCTTTCTTTCTAAATAGTGCCCAAATACTTTTAACATTAATAGGCGTATAAGCTGCTGTAAATGTTGCACTTGAACTATCTGTATTCTTTGAGAATGAACCGTCCATAGGAATCCAATCCATAACTTTAACAGGAAAACATAAAGCCTCGTTTGTATAATGTTCTACAAGTTCTGTATAATGTTAGGGTCTAAAGAGAATGACTTTGGATTAATGAAACATTCATTAAAATCCATCTTTGTTCGAAATAGTTGCTGGGTTACAGTTGTAATAGTAACTGTTCCACTAGCTTCTACTGCCTTCGTTATCATAGTGAATGGTTCATTCCATGGAACAAATTTATTTGTCGGTGGATTTGAATCTGAAGCAAATGCAACTTTAAGAGTTGGATTGAAAGCAATGATATCATTTACAGATATAGATGTGCATTGTAAGGCGTCGCTACTGAACTTTACTTTAAGCTGAATGTTTCCTGCAAAAGCTGGAATAAATCGAATAGCTTCTAATGGAAGGAATCTTCTAACAGGAATTCTTAAACGAAGCTTAAAATCAAATGATTTTCCTGCTGTAATTGGACCACTAACAATTTGTCCTGTTCTGCATGTTCCCGAATGACTCCATACATCTTCATGTCGAGTCTTTGAGAAAACATCTACTTTCTTTATTTGTTCGGTAGTTTGTGAGTTTGAAGTTATATATGCTTCTTCTCTTGCGTTGTCTGAGAATATACGATACGACCATTTGCAAGGATTTGATATCCAGCAACTGCATAGAAAGCGTCATCGAAACCAATCCAAAATCCTGGTGGGTTTGTTTTATTGGAACCTGAACCAATTTCTTTATCTACAATAAATTGACCTTCCATTTTATACGTAATGAATGTATTGTAAAGGTCCAACATATTTTCACCAGGAGGTGAGAGATTGAATGTTACCCATGTGTTATCTTTAGCAGTTCCAGGTTGTGATGGAATCTTTGCGTCAGCAATATTTTCTATTAGTGTCACCAATTTGAACTGCATTGTCTATGATATTGAAATATGAGCGAATCTGATGAATATGCTCTGCTGGAGTAAATTCGTTTAGCTGTTCGTTCTGCATGTATTTACTTCAGATAAAAATATCTATTTACTTGATTATTCTCACTCTTCTTCTTGGCATTCGTGGTGGAAGTTGTTTCTTGACATTTTCAATGAACTGTACATTCTCTTTTGTCTCAACTTCTTTCACTGGCGGGTCAGGATTCTTTGACTCGATTTGTTTTTCAATGAAATTCACGAACTTTGCAATAAGCTCTTGGTTCGTTATTGAAAGTACATCTGGCTTCTTTTCTTCTGGTTCTATTGACTTTTCAGTTTGAATAGAAGGCTTAACATGGGCTTCGCCTCGGTGCCATGCACCTTAATGTTGTCGCTTTCTGCATTCGCTAATGAACCTCTTTTTTCTTACGTATATTTTACCATCTTTACTCTGACTTACGTAATAGAAAGGATGTTGTATTCCTCTTGCGTCATTTAATATAATAGACTTCTCGCTCTGATTTTGACAAGCTCATTTTACATCGGTTAAAGTTTTAATTTTGTTTTTTATCTGCAGTCAAATGACTCAGACAAGCCCTACGGACAAGACCCAAGGGGTAATAGATGTTGAAGCATTGAAGAAAGAAATTCGTGAGCAAATTTTATCCGAACTGAAGGAACAAAAACAAGAACAAAAGCCAGAGAGACCAAAGAGAAAACTTAGTGAAAAACAACTTGCTGCATTAGCTGCTGGAAGACAAAAGAACCCACGTTTGCTGGCGAAGAAAGCTAGAGAAGAAGCTGAAGCAAAAGCTAAAGAAGCTGAAGCAAAGAAAGAGTAAATGGTTTATTTTTATCGGAACTAAATGTATAGACAAATACCTTTATCTGTTGCATTCAGTAGTGAAAACCCTGACGTCAAAATAAAGGGGAACAGAGTACCGTTTAAGTTTCCAACAGACTGGATTGTGAACATAAATGAAGAGAAGTACATTGGCATAACATCTATGTATATAACACGTGCTTTCAGAAAGGTTGACTTTATACTTCAAGTCGAGATAGAAAATGACGAACAGTCTTTAAGCGCCCAAAACATTCACATATACAAATACTTTAAAGACGATACAACATTGCAACAATGTATGATTTCATTTAATGAGATGTTCGAGAAAAAGTTCAACATTGAAGTACAAACTTTACAGCCTTTACGTGAGTTTCTTGCACAACTGAAAGAAGAAGGTAGTCAGCCACAACTTCTAGACTTTCATTATGAATTTAATGAAAATGAAGATGGAACACATGACTGTCAGTTTGTTGTATTCTCACCATTCAATGAAGTCGCTAAAGAGAAAGAAAATCCATTACGTATAAGATTTCAAATCTCTGAACCAGGTGATGATTTCAAGAATGTTTTCAATTATGATGCAATGCTTCCGAGGAAAAATGAATTTTCAAAGATTGTAACACCTGGCATTTGGGATAGAAAGCAAGCTATATTATATTCAAACTTAAGTAAGGGAGTTGAAAATGAGTTCATTGGTCATACAAGAACTTCACCACTTCCTAACCCTAAATACTATAAATTAACTGGCTTCAATCGTGAGTTTTGGATAGACATGTTCTCCACTCATGACCATAACTGCCCAGTGTTCTTACCTCCAGACCATAAGGACTGTCTCTACATTGAAGCACAACTCTTAAACTCTACCATCGCAGTATTGTAAATGACCACATGGGCTTCGCCCTTGCCGCTAGCGGCTTATTTTTATCATGAATGGTCTCACTGCTGACAAAAATAAATGACCTCATTATTTTTCTCATTCATGACCTCAGAACTTAAGCTTTCTTATGAATGAAGTCTTAGTCTGAATAGAAAAGTTAAACTTCTCTTCAAATGCAGGTGTAGCAGACTTACATAAGTCGAATGCAATCTCTTGACCGTCATAAAGTGCTTTGTAAAGTTTCATTAAACTGAACTCAGAGTCTTTGTCATATGTTCTAACACGAATGACTTCTCTCATGTGGTCAATAGTTTCTTCATTTACTCCAGCCTGAATGCAAGCATAAACGAAACAATTGTCTTCTGTCATAAGTGCTGCAGTTCTTTTGTTCAATTCATTGAAAATTTGGTAGCGTTCAAGATTTATAGGTAATGTGCAAAGATACTTCCAGAACTGACCGCTTCTCTTCTTATAAAACTTCTTTTCACCATTATCTTTCCAAAAGCTTTCTATAAGTGCTGGGTTTCCTGTTTGCTTAAGAGCTTCCAAAATGGCTTTCTGGTCATTTGTCAGTGTGCTTTCATCTCTATATGGTCTCTTTTTTGGTTTGCCTTTCTTTACATCTGACATCGTTAAGCCTTCATATTCTGTTAAATCATACATCTTTATTTCGGTAAGATTCTTTATGTTTGTCAAGAAGAAGTCATAGTGCATTTCAACAATACCTGCAGCATTTGCTTCTATCTCTGATATAAAGTTCTCCTTCAAGAGCTGATGTAGTAATGTTCCAATATTATTGAGGTTTAACGTAGAACATTCATACTTTCCACCAAGTTTATAACATACCATCCATCTCTGTTGTGAGTTTATTTTAATTTTCTCTAAGAGTCTCATGAAAACCTTACCGAAATGTTTGTGTAAGTAGTCTCTGTTTGGTTCATCTAAAGCTTCGATGTTAAAGTCAATGAGTCTATTGCCTGACTTCACATTTCTCTTCCTATTCTCTTCATCTTTCTTTAACCATCTCTCACCTTCTTTTGGTTTGTCGTCAATGGAACGAATGACATCGTTAGCTTTGCGAACTTGTTCTATAGCGCTCTTAAACATCTCTCTTCTCTGTTGTTTCAGTATGTCGTCTCTTCTTCTTGTTTCACCAACGTTTGCATTTGTTATGTCAAACATTTCTCTTCTTACTTCATGAGGTACTGAACGTCTATGATATAAGTCAATAGCAACGTCATTTAAAGGAAATGCTCTTGCATGGACTTCGTCCTCGCTGCGTTGCGGCTTTATGAACTCATGAATTCTATCATAACTTATTGCACCATTATAGTCATTGAGGATGTCAGCGAGTGCTTTTTTGTTTGTTGCGTAATGTTTTGCAACATCTATATTAGCTTCTGTAAGAAGTTGTTTTATTTCCGAGTGTTCTAACTTAGACAACTTCCGATACATCTTTAGTAGGAAATAAAAAAAATATTTTTTGAAAAAATTAGATTAGATTTTTTTAAGTTATTTTTCAAAATAATTTAATATTTTTATTTTAATGAAACACATGCAAGATTGCAAGTTCTTTTCATACAATGCTCTCGCTACTGCCATCAAGAATGAGTTCAATGGTGCTGCAAACGTTAATGTTATCTTTAACAAGAAGTTTGTGAAAGAATCTAAGTTTGGTCAGTATGTCAGACCATTAGCTATCGTCATTGACCGCAAACGTTATACTTCACAAGAGTTAGCAGTAGTTTTGAAACAAAAGAGTTTCTTCGTGAATGTCAAAGATACTCATTATACTGTCATAAAGAACTCTAACATTGACTTCTTCAGTATTGCTATGAATCTTTCCGAACAGAAAGAATATAAGAAAGGTGAAACAAATGTGAAATATTATCCTTCATCTCTGAAGACAATAACGAACAAAGATGTTATACAGAAATTCTTACCAAAGGTTGAAGAAGCTTCTATTGACATTGACGAAGGAAGTGAAATGGTTGAAGAAATAGACCCTGAAGCTATTTAAGCAAAAATATATTTTTGGTTAGTCTTCATATCGATATTTTACAACAATTCCCCAATGTATAAACTTTTCATACGCTTTTTCATAAGCTTTATATACCTTCAGAAATTTTGCATAATCTTTAGAAGCATTTAGATATTGTTTAAATGCTTTGTATGTCTTCAGAAATTTTGCATAATCTTTTACATGTTGTTCGTTCTCTTCTTCTGTCATGAGTTCCGAATATTCTAAATTCATGTTCTTTCATATGAGATAAAATTTTATAAAAAAAATAAAATTAGCTTAGATTTTTTTTATTCTTCCTCTTTGAAGTTATCGAAATATTCTGTTATTTTTTCCTTCAGTAATGTTAAGTCTTCTTTGAATGTAAGTATTGTGCAACCTTTGATGTCATAGTGTGTTTGAGGAAGAGTATTTTTGACAATTTCCTTTATTTGCTCATTCGGTGTCATTGAAATCGGTAAGTTTTCACGATAGAACCAGTTTCTGTCAGATTTATATATCTTAGCTAAGTCGTAAAAGCTCTTGTTGTTTCTTCTCACTAAATGCAACATAACCATGTCACTGTCTTCTTCTTTCTCCAACTCTTCAGTATATATCATATACTTATAACTCTTTTCCTTTCCTTTTGGTACTGAACGCGGTATTCTTTTCTGTATGCTTTTGTCTTTGGATTCAATGACTTCATCTTTTGCTTGAAGTTTCTTTTCCATCTCTCCACATTCTGCTTTATATAGTTCATCTAACATCATGAAAATATAACAAGCATAACGAGGTGAAGCCCACATTGCTACAGCATTTACTAAAAGTCTATGAACATAATAACCTTTCAAACCAGGAGCCAAATTCTTGCGATTTTCATACGGAATCTCTTCCCCCGGTTTTCCGAGGGAAGCAATCATATGAGGAAATTCTTCTAAAAGTTCTTTTGTCTGTTGGTTTTCAAACCAATGATATGCTTGCTTTGTAGAACGAAGAGCATTCATTATACTCTGCATTTGGTACATGTCATCTTTGACTGAACGAATGAGACGTAACTGTTTGTTATACTGTATGTACTCGTATTCTTCATTTATGGCTTCATGAACGATAGCAGTTGTTGTGTTCTCTGATGTTGACATTACTGTCTTTACATACAAAATAAAAAAATAAAAAAAATAAAACTAACTTTATTTTTTCTATCTTAAGGAAATTCATTATTTTTGTGCTGAATTCAATAAAAATATATTTTAGGGTAGATGGTTAGATCTAACCCGATATCTACCCTCATTTCTACCCCAGTTATTTTATAAACGTTTCACATGGTAAACGTTATTTTTGGAATTTTGTGAAAACTCAACGGTTTGACACATGCCCTAAAAATTATTTTACTCAGAATTTTGTTGCTGAATTCAATAAAAATAATGTTTAGGGTAGATGGTTAGATCTAACCCGATATCTACCCTCATTTCTACCCCAGTTATTTTATAACCGTTTTACATGGTAAACGTTATGAATTCGTGAGACTCTAAACAGTTTTGTAGCTTCTATTTCTTCGCTGAGGATATCAAAAATTTTAACAATGCCGAAAGTTTCTTTATACTTCTTCTTGACATCAGATAGAAGGAAATCGTCAGCAGTTGGATAGTTTTTGTTCAGAAATTCTAACATGTTCATTTTATTTTCTGCCGGTTTCTCTGCTTCTTTCTTTAAGTCAGCATAGTCGTTTCGCATACGTTCTATCTCTTTTACTGAATAGTTATATTTCCTAATTGCTGCTTTACATTTAGAACATTGCGGATTCATTTTTGCGTTATATTCTGAAACCTTACCTGCTAAAACAACTAAGGCGTCAATGGTTTTCTTTAAATCTGAAGCAGTTGGTTTTATCTGTTCATGCCATACCTTACCTCTTCTATCTTTATCTCTTATCTGCCATACACATTTTGCAGCTAATGAAACAAAGTTGTCGTATGTCTTAAACTCCCCAGATTTATATATGTCAGAGATGTTCTTATATACCATGTCGCAATCTTTATCCATAACTTTATGGTTGCAATGATATCCTAGAAACTCATAATTTACCTTTCGTATGAACTTCTTTATTTCTGCAGAATCACTAACTTTAACTTCAATTTCATCGAATTCAGGAATAGTGAGCTTTTGTTGTTGGATTTCAGGCAATTTGGGTAAATGGTCAATAATGTCCTGCATGTCATAAAGATATTCTTCATTTTCTTCATCCTGTGCGGTACAGTCTAAATTACTTGTTAAAAGTTCTTGTTTTATTCTTTGTATTTCTGTTCCAAAACTATATGAAGAAGGAATGAAGTTTTTCATCTCTACTAACATAGATGTTGGATTCATGACTAACGAGTTTGGTGCTGTTGTTGTTTGAATTGTTGTTGTGCCGATTGTTGAAATCATATCTTTTATACAAAATAAAAAAATAAATAAAAATAAAACTAACTTTATTTTTTCTGTCTTAAGGAAATTCATGAAAATTCATGAGGGTAGAAATCGGGTTAGAAATCGGGTTAGATCTAACCATCTACCCTAAACATTATTTTTTGGTCGTTTATGACAAAAATAAATGGTTCATTTACTCACAATATTTTTGTACAAAACGACCCCAAACTTTTAACTTCTTTTCTGCAGCTTCTAATGCTATCTTAGCGAGTTCATATTCTCTAAATTCTCTCTTTAAATCTTCTTGTTCCCATTGGTCTAGTTCGTATGGAGAATCTCTATAACCATAACATATCTCACGTTCATGTTCTAATTGTTTTTCATGCATTTTTCTAACTTCTTCTTCAAACAAATGTTTTGCATTCTCTACTGTATCTTCGAGTTCTTCTTCATCTAAATTCTCATGAACTTTCTTGTCTATGGAGTCCATAATTTTTCCAACTGCTATGCAATATTTTGGAGAAGCCCACATTGCTATATAGTTTATAAGTCTTGGGTCTACATACGTTCCTCTAACCTGTTTGATTTCATCAGGAATTCCTGCATGAATTTTGTATAAAAAGCAACAGTCCGAATTCCGGCGGTTGCTATATTCTTCACAAAATGCCTTATAATACTCTTCCCAGGACTTATTTTCCAACAACTTTCTAAAGTCTTTCCTAAACTGCTGACACATCTTTGTTGCATTAATGTAACCATCCTTGTCTCTACGTAAGACTTCAATACCGTTATAAGTGCCTTTTGTGAATGTTTCGCCATTATATTTGTTAGTGAATGTTTTTGCTTCGACTGACATTTCTGTTCTTACATACAAAATAAAAAAATAAATAAAAATAAAACTAACTTTATTTTTTCTATCTTAAGGAAATTCATGAAAATTCATGAGGGTAGAAATGAGGGTAGAAATGAGGTTAGATATATCCATCTACCCTAAAAATTATTTTTGTTCATGGGCTATGCCCCGCCGCTTTGCGTCTTTATGTTAAAATAAATGGTACCATTAATGATATCATGACTGTTCTCGTTCATGTCTGATTTACATCTAATGAAAAAGTTTAGAAGAATTTTCTTATTCTTTCTGGCATATTTTTATCTTTCCAGTACTCCCGCTCTAATGGTCCCAGATGTGTTGGCTTCGACTCTCTCAAGTTCTTAGATGGTATAACATCTTCAACGCCTCCTTCATATCTTACTTTATAAGTGTCATCGTTTGTGTTATAGCCAAGTATTTCAATAACCACTCCTCGCTTTGCTTCGTCAATGGTTTCAGCAAGTTTGCCATTACTACTTTCGACTAATTTATGTCGAGGGTAAAATGCAATGGAGTCGTCAGCAGCTTTTATAAGATATCCATTACCTTGCGTAGAGTCTACGATATAATAATTTCGACTTAACCTTAAACGTTTCTTTGTCAACGGTTTGTCGTCAAGAACTACACGAACTTTTGTACCAGGAATGAGGGTAAATTGTGTTGAATTTCTGATATTTTGTGTTTGGCTTCGTTTCTTTTGTATATACTTTTCTTCTTGTTGTTGTGTCATTGAATTTGGTGTATGTCCTGTTGTAGAATGTGTTGAGGAATTATATACTTCGAGAAAATGTTTCATTGTTTCTTCGGTAAAGTCTCGCTCTTGGTTTAAATCTCTGAGCGTTCTTATGAAGCGGTTTATGATGCCGAGTATGTTATGGTTATGGTCTTCAGTAGTGTAGTGAGTTATGTTATGCTTAATGAGAAAATCTGTGATTTCATTGCTGAGGTATGCACTGTCTTGGTCTGATGTTAAAGTACTTGGGCTATGTTCAGCTACAAACTTTTGTAAAACTCTTAACACTTCACGAGTTCCTTTATTTTTCATTATATACGCAAAAGCTTTGCGAGTGTTAACATTAATGAAGATGAGGAATGGTTTATGTCCTCCTTTTCTGCTTTGAATGAGAGTGTCAAATTGGTATGCGTCAGGAGTGTTGGAGTAAATTGGTAAAAAGTAGT